TTAGCAGGCAGGCGATCATGCAACATATTTTTCTGCCACTTCTTGCAGGGGCTTACCAATTGCTGGATTCTCAATGGGGTTTAAGGGAAAAAAACTGTGGGATAAGGAACCCTAATCGAGAAAAGGATGAATGTGTGTTTGATTGTGGCTGGGAGTGTTGATGCAGTTGACTTTAACGACCCAAGTGCACCCACCGGTCCATTTCCATCTCCTCGAGTCGCTGGGTGAGCGCCAGCTTCTGCTGGACAGCCAAGCGCAGCAGCTGGTTCAAAGTCTTCTTCTCCTCCTCGGCAGCCTCCAACTGGCGATTGAGATCATCCACCTGGGTCACATACTCCTCGCAGCGAGCCGCGAACATGGCACGCAGGCCTACAAAAAAGTTTTATTAGTCTATGTACTTAGTAAATAACTTTTAATGACGTACTGGAGAAGGTGGCTGCATCCTCCTTGAGAAGCCTGAGCTCATTACGCAACTTGGACATGGTGTCGCTGACAATGATCTTCTCGTTTTCGTACTTTGACTTGAGATTGGTGAGGGCCACCTCGGCGGTTTGTTTGTTTGACTTGAGCACGTTGCGCAGTGTTCCGATCTGTTCGCGCTTCACGGACAACAGGCTCTTTAGCTTGACTATCTGTTCCTGCAGCTCCTCCATCTCCTCGGTGTTGACCTTCTCGAGAGCTAAAAAAAAAAAAGAGTTTAATAGAGGTTTCAAATACTTCTTGCCATCAACTTACCATCGCCTCCTTCAGAGCGCACTTTGTGTTTGTTCAGATCGATAGTGTGCTCCACAGCTGTCTTTAGATACTTAATCTGATCGCTGACGGTGTCCACGTACTTCTTGATCTCCACGGAATCCGCCAGACCCTGCAGATCCTCGACAATTTGGGGCTTGGCAATGAAGACATCCGATTTGAACTGCGACTGAATGGCAGTCAGAGAATCGTTCTCGAAGCTGCAATGGAATGTTATGTTATAAGAGTTCAGTATGGATTGTAACTTTTATGACCTACCTCATGTCATCGCTCTTGTGGTCGAGCAGAACACGCGTTGGCGTTTCCCCGTTGACGGTGCACACCAAATGATACAGCTGGGCCAAATCGTCGCTTAAAGCCACCAAAGTACTGCGGGCTGAACCGAGACTTTGGCCGGCGTTCTGCGAGATGTGCGTGAGCGTTTGAACGTCGCTCTGCAGATCCAATGACTTTTGCTCCGTGGCCAGGAGCTTGTTCTTCAGGTTGGTCACCTCATTGCGCAGCGTGGTGGTGGCGTCCGTGTAGTTGAGTCCCTTCTGCAGCTCGGCAATGTCAGTCTTAAGGCCATCGATCTCCTTGGCGGAGAGCGTAAACCAATTGGCATACTGCGAGATCAGAGAACGCAGCTGCTGCTCCAGCTCATCCTTCTTCTGGTCGCCATCCTTGCCCTGCTCCTTTACGTCGATCTGCTTCTTCAACTGTACCAGAGCATCGACATGGGCCGCAAGAAGAGCCAGGCGGGACATGAAGTTTTGCAGCTCGTTTTGTGACTTGTCCAGACTCGTCTGCGCCTCCCGCAAGTTGGCCGTCAGATGGGTCTTCTCGCTTTCCATACTCTCCAGCTGCTTCTCCAACTTCTTCAGCTCGTTCAGATGAATCTCCGAGAAGAGATCGCACTTGGTGCCGTCGGGTGATTTTAGTTCGGTGCTCAGATCGGCCTCCAGGCGTTTAAGAGCAAGATTCTCCTCCTCACCATCTGAGTTATTGCTGGCATTGTCCTCCATGTTGCTGCGTATGCTGTACGCCAGGTTGCTAATGTGGTACATTGACTCGCGGTTCAAGTGACCATCCAGCTCCTTCTTGAGCGCATACTTCGCCTCACGTTCACCCTGATGGAGAATAAGGAGTTGTTGAAGTATTAAAACAAATTTAAGGAAGGATAAAGTATACTAAAGGCTTTTTTAAACATTACTGAATGAAGTACAAATATGAATTTAAAGCCTTTATGTATATTAATATACCTGCAAGGCCTCCAGCGCCTCCTCCATTTGCTTTTCGGCAATCTTCTTGAGATTCGCCAGCTCATCGACCTGTTGATTTAAAAGCTCAACTTCTTCGGTGAGACGACGAATCTCGTGTTTGGCACCTTCAAATTCCACCTGAAAAAATTGAAACAGAATATAAAATAAAAAGTTATTTTAAGTAAATTTCATCTATGGCTGACCTGTGAGCTGCGCAGGTTGGAGACCTGCTTCTGCAGCGATATGTTCTCCTCCTCCAGTTCCGAGTATTCGCTCAGCATACGCGTCTCGCGGAATTTAAGGTCCTTCAGCTCGGACTTGAGGCGCAGTCGATCCGCCTCGCTGTCGCTCTTGTCCCGCCCGAAATCCGAGTTCTCCTGCAGCATCCTGTCGCGCTCGTTGCGAACCCTTTCCAACTCGTGACGCAGTTGCTTGAGCTCGTTCTCCAGATCAAAGATCTGCATGTTGAGCGACGTCTCTCTGGCAGCGGATTCATTTAGCAGGGCGTCCTCCTGCTCGATGCCCGTCTTGTTGGTGACCTTCTGTGAGGTTTGGAACTTGGTCAGCGCCTGGAAAAATCCAAAAAAAAGTATGTAAAGCACGTGTCAGTATGCAGGGGGCGTAAATAAGTGTGCGGAAAGCAAAGTAATCATAAAAGTTTCCTGCCTGCCCACCGAATGCCAGCGATTTTATTGCATTCATTTGCATGTCCCACTGCACGAGGGTGGGAAATTGGGGGCGTTGGCCACTCGGGAGCTTTTCCTGCTTTTTCTGCTGATGACGCCCCGAGTATTTTATTTTTCATTATATACCCAACCATAGATGCTCTTGGAAAGGGTAATAGCAGTATGAAAAAAATTTATTAAAATGTTGATTAAATGATTAAATTCAAATTTAAACGCAGTTTACAATATTTTAGTTTATTGATTGGCGATTAAAGAAGATTACATTTCTTATAAAGAATAAAAATAAAAAAACAAAGAACTGTAATATTATATTTTTTAATCTGAAGATCTGTAGCATATTACAAAAGCTAACAGTGCATAAAACCTTTATTATTTATCTGCTTATCAAATATGCCAGTTGTCAAGATGCACCAATGGGAATATTCAATGCGTTGGTCCGCAATTATTGGATTTTGTTAATTGCGACTGTCTCGCTGTTGGTCGTGTTGAAATCGCCCATGAGCACATTAAGGGTAACGGCGGCGAGGGACACACCCAGGATTAAAAGCCACCAGCAGAGGTAAACAGGAATACAGAATGTTTATGGGGCCAGGCCAAGCCCTTAACTGGGCGCCGGAGACCCTCCTGTCCATGTGGACAGTCGGCGGGAGTGGGTGGGGGTTAGCGGGGGTTTAATATGATGGGGCATATAATCCTGTGGCGGCTTTAATTGAAATCTCAACCCCAAACGGCGGCGGCGCTCGTCTGGCATTTTCTGAATGGGGTCCATTTGGAGTACGTGCTTCACAAGTTCCACCATCATCAACATCATCATCATCACCGTCGTCATCAAAACTGTGCCCAAACAAAAATCTCAAGTGGTAAAATGGAATGACCACGATTCAGAGATTTGGCAAAAACGGAAACTGCATAAAGTTCGGGCGAAAACTTTCCTTCGGAGGTTTTCTCCTAAATGCTATGTAATTAGCAGGCGGCAAACAAATGAGTCTACGTTTCTGCAACGCATCCTTAACCCCTTGATAAGCTACCGATTTCCCAACTCTTCTACGCTTTTCCCTTTCTTAACCCTTACCTTATTCATTCCTAGTTTTTTGTAGCTGTATAATTATCGTTGGGCGACGTCAGCCGCCGTTTTCTTTTTGTCGTTTTTACAATCTCAATTTGACAATCACACACCCACAAAGTAAGCCCGAAAACCTCTCCAACCATCCAACCCACTTTGGGGCAAGTGCATTTCGTTAATTAGTGTAATCCAAAGAAGAAGCAGTGGGTGGGGTACTCTAAAAGAGAAAGCAAACAAAAGGCCAAGGCGGGTCCAAAGTCTCGGATGGAATTTCAGCTGCCTAAAGCTGTCACACCATCATGCAACTAAATTGCAAGGCGCCTCTTAAATTAGAAAGAGACAGACAACAGGGGGTTAAGAGAAAGGGGAGATGAGCGGAAGAGGAAGAGCCACTGTGAGATAATCACAGAACAAAGGTTCTAAAACGAGGGAGGCTTACAAAACCAAAGCAAGAGCTTTTATCTAAGGTATTGTATTACCACCAGTGTTTAATTTAATAAAACCGATTATTATGTGAAGATATTTCACAAGTCTACACAAGGATTACAATTAATCGGCTTATTTGAAATGTTCAACAACTGTAAGAAAAGTTCTGGGGCTTATCAGGTGTTTAATTTGATTAGTATTTTTTTTGGAGATTATTTTTCAATAACATATTCTAAAAAGAGTTATCTCAGACACTTAAATGTAAATAACAAATATATTTTTAAGACATACATTTTTAGATAGCGTTTATATATTCTCTCAGTGTTCCAGTTTGCTCAGTGACGCCATCTATCGGGCAACAGGCCGCAAACAAATGACGGCATAAACTTTATGCAAATTAGAAAAGATTTTTAATTAAGTTGGGTAAATATTAACACAGTTCACAGGGGCCAGAGACAAGAGCAGCGAAACCGCACTAGACTTGGCATAGGCCAGACACTGGGTCTGCTTCTTCTACCCTGCTATAGCCACCCACTCTACAACCTCCCCACCCCAATTTGTGTTTGGATTGTTTCACTGCTATGGCTGCGATTAGAATTAGAGACATCTAAGTGGTCTAAACAGAGAGGGTAGCAAAGGAAAGGCAGAGAACCCAAATATATCAAGTAAATATTTCAAAAATTTTAAAATTTTAAAATTAAAAAATTAAATTTAAATATTAAAACCATATATGTATGTAATTTGTACTCCCCAAAAAATATTATAAATTTAAAACATTTAATACCTATTTGTATAGATGGTATAATTGTATAGAATTTTTTTATTGTGCAGGGGCAAATATGGGTTGACTACTCGCAGTAGCAGAAGCAGCTGTTGCCATCAGTTCTCCGGATGACTGCAATGAAACTCCTCCTGGTCGGCGCCACTAAAAATAGAGCAGATTGCCCACATTATGACGACGATGAGCAGAATTTTGGAGCGCACTGTGTGAGCGAGAGCACTTAGGTGGCAAAGCCACAATATAAACAACAACTACAGCAACGGTTTCCGCCTGGTCACAAGAGTGGGTGGTTAAGTGGGTGGTTTTTCGTCCGGATTCCCGCTGGTTACTCCCCAATGCTGATAAAGTATGCCATGAATGACTGAACAGATTGTGGCAAGTGAGAAGGGCGAGGGCGGGGGAAAAGGTGACACCACGCCCAGTTCGTTAACTGGCAGCTTCACTCTTACGGAACGCAGTCAAATTTAAATGTGAAGCAGCCTGCAAATGCAATAATAACCATGTGCACAGAGCAAAAAAAAATCTATCTTAAAAAAAATTAGTTTGAAACAAACTTGTAATCTCGACAAGATCAATCAAAAAGTTGGCATACATATAAGATAACTAAAATCTAGATTTATGGGCCAACAACAAAAGTAAAAATTTACCTATCTTTTATCTTTTTGAAACATTTTTCGAATTTTTTTGAATGTACGCCTTTTGTAGGCTTTGCACAATTTTTATCCCAACGCACATGCGAACAATGAGAGCCAAAAAGAGAGAATAGGAAATGGAAAATGGAAAATGTGAGAAACGGCACATTTGTGGCCATCATGTCAATGCACGAGCTTGACACTCGCTCTGAATTTGAAATGTCGCCTAAAACGACGACAAAAGACACGGCGACCAGAAAAACGTCGAAAACTGCAGGCGGAAAAATGGGAAAAACCTGTGTGCGTGCTTTTGTTGACGATGCGGAAAATTTTAACATGGAAGCTGGCACAAAAGGACTCAAATTACGCTCTTAACGAAATGGGAATCCACAAAAACTAAAAAGCTTTGCAATTCGCACTAACAGGATACGCAGAAAATCCAGTTAAACTTAATCCCGCCCGCGGGTGTGACAACAATGGGTTTGAATTTTTAAAGGAATTTTAATACAGGATGACGTACTTAAATGAATATAATATAAATAAATATTTTGTAAATGAGAAAGATTTAAAAAGATTTTAATTGGGGTGATTGTATGCTTAATGCTTAATTCTTATGCAGTGTACATACTTTTTGAAAAAAAAGGAAAGTACAGGAAAACTAGTAAGCCAGCTACATAACAACGCTCGCAAGCATCATCAGGAAATGCGAAATGGACGCAGTGGGCCATGAGAAATCCTTGAAAGCGCGGAACTATAAACAGAAATAATAACCATTCGCTCGTGCTGCGAACTCCCGTGGATGTGTTGCATCATGCACATATAGTATACTCGCATCCGTGTACATTATCCTGGGCAAATATCTCGAGCGCATTTAACAGCCAATAGTCATGTAGAGCTTTCCAGGACGTGTTGATGGCGGCGGTTCATCCTTTTTGCGAGCTCATTGCATCTGGCAGTGCTCCAATTTCCCCCAGAGACATTGCATGGGGGCCAAAAAGTTTACGCAAATAAATTGCACCGTCATTATGCAGGACAATCGCAACAGCAGCAACAGCAGGAGGAGCAGGAGCAGCAGCAGGAGCTCCAACAACACGGTTCTCTGCTGTGGAAAACTGCAATTGTCACAACAGTTGCCCTGGCATCCTTGCCCAGATTTTCTCTCATCATCGTCACAAGAGTCTGTGTGTACTTTACATTTTCATTGCTGGCAATTCATAGGGGAAAATCGCAAAAGGAAATGCGAGGGGGGGGGGGGGGGGGGGTGGAATGGCCCCCCAGTTGGCGGGAAATACAACACTTTTTTTCCCACTCATTTCCTTTGCAGTCAGAAAGGCCAGACAGCGACGGAAACATGTTTTGTCAGTGCTCGAGCGCCGCATTTAACCCTTGCCAACCCGAGCCGGCACTCTTAACCCACCGATGGCCCCCTCCTCCCCTCCTCCCCCATTTGTGGCCGTTGCAGTTGTTCCTGTCTGGGAGTTGTTGCTTCTACTGCTCCTGCTGCCAGTTTGATTGCCATAGAATTGCAATTTGCGCCAAAAGAACAGAACATCAGTGTCAAATCATTATAATTTTTTTCCCTTCCCGCTCCTTTTCGTCCTTCTCCTGTGGCATCGTTTATCTCTGGCTTTTATTTTGCTGCTGTTATTCTAATTGTAATTGTCTGGCTTGGATTTTGAAAGGATAAACATTTGGCAGGATTCACAGGACCGTAAATTAACTTGGCAGTTAAGCAAAGTGTTAGAGGATTAAGATTATTGCTCTGATTCTCTTGAATTGTGTAATTTATGGATTATAAAATAAAGGAGCGCTGTTCACCATTCAAAAAACATATAAAAATACAACAAAAAAACATATTTTGCTGGGGAAATATTTTCAAAATTAAAGATTTCTCCTACAAATTTTCCCAAATATCTATAGCGCAATTCACAAAGGCCATGGAAAATAATGCCATTAATTATTAAATTTGTGTTGAAAACTTTTTGGGGTGGAAAGTAGCAAGTCAGGCGGCAGCCGCAGAACGTTGAAATACGCAGGACACGGGAATGTGACCACCGGACGACGGGATGTCCTTGTTGGTGGCGCTTTGCTCGCCATGAATTATGGCCGAAACCCCGCACCCGCACCCGCACCCAAACTCGGTGACATACATATGGGACAAAACAGGACCTCGCCCATATATGACCAACTGTACATGTGTCGCACTACTGCGTCCATCGTTCCGTTTTATGGCCCTTGTTTCGGGGCCTTTTAATTGCCGCAGTTACAATCGTCCTAACAACAACGTGTTTCCCTGCCCCTTTCCTCCTCCATCCCCCCTTTGTTGCACTAACTCTGTGATTCAGCTAACTGAATAAATTGCCAAATGTGGCTGACAGTTTCGACCGCCTTACGTCCCGTAAAACTGGGTAAATATTTGTTTTGCGGTAGTGCAGCTGCCAATTTGCAGTCACAGTGATTGCCCCAAAATTAGCACTTGCTGGATTGGATTTACTAAGAGTTATATTTGTAATTAAATGTTGTCAAATAGAAGGAAAAGTTCTTAATTGAGTAGGGAGGTCAATAAAAAGTTCAGTAAAGGAAGTGTTGACTTCTTTTGTTATTTTATGTGTGTAAATTGTTCATATATAATGTAAATGTGTTCGGCTGATTCAATTTAACAACCGATGCTACAATTTCAAAAATTAGCCCGTTGGCTTAGACTACGCATAATCGAAATTCTATTGCATTAGAGTTCCGTCGACGGGAAAATTTCTCGCGCTTGCGGCTCTTAGAAAAATATTCGATTAATTTTAGTAAGCTAATTTGCAAGCGTGGCTCGAAGACGGAAACTTTACCCTCTTTTGCTGTCCGTTGTCCCCGTTGATTTATGTCATTCCATGCTGGGTTCGCCCACGGCAAATATCTTGATTACAAGTGGAAATATGTCCCCCTGTCACCCCACTTCCCCCTTCTCCACTTTACCAACCCTTTTCACAATGTTTGCCGAGCTGCAGTTTGGGGGACACAAAATGCCCGCAGTGACGTTGTCGTCGACGTTGCGAAATTTTTTTTTAATTTTAAGCATCCATTAAAAGTGTGTGTGTGTGTTTGTGTGTGTGTGGGTGGAGTGTTCTTTTGGTCTCGCACTCTTTTTGTGTTCTCGTAAAAGTTCAGTTGAGTTCAAATCCAACAAGCTGGAAACTATCAAGCTGGGTAAAAGTGCAGCGCCACCTGTCCAACAATTAATTGGCAGGCTTTTTTGTTCTGTATGGCATAGAAATGTATGAAAATATGTACGCAAACCTATTTGTAAAACGTGTTTCCGGTTGGGTGTATGTGTGCAGGTGTTAACGCCCTCGTTGAGTTTAATTCCAGAACTTTCAACCCTCTGCAATGCAATTTTAACATGTAGCGTAATTACACTGGTTAATCCCCTGGGGAAGTAATAATAAATAGGGCTTAAACTCATATGGTGCGCGTTTTTATTTAAAATAACTTGGTAAACTAAAAGTTAATTAAAGGGGAAAATATTTTTTTAAGGCCCCCCGGTTAAAATAGCTTGCTTTTAGTCTACTCCAAAGGAATTTATTTGAGTAGCATAAGCTTGTTTAACAAAAAGGCTTAAACAAGCCCTGCCAAAATCAGCCTTAACCAACTTTTTCTTTAGCAACCGCTTTAATTGCCTGCAAAACAAAGAACTTGGAAAACAATCGAAAAAAGCCAAAGCAAGAAATGATAATAGACGGCAGAATGATTATGGTTTGTTTCCCCCATTTGATTTTCATCGAGGAAAGGACAGAACTTTTGCCTTTCGCCCAGCAATGCAGGTTGAGCCCACGAATACACAGCCAGTGGAAATTCCAGCGGAAATGCCAGGCGATGGCGACGACTAATTGGGGAGGAAGGGGTAGTAAAAAACCAGGGTAACGGGAGGTGGTAGTGGGTGGTGGGCCGTACATGTGGCGCTACACAAAGGTGCAAAACGAAATGGCAAAAATAGATTGGCCATGCTGCAATTGGCCAACAGAAAGCTGTAGGGGCTTTTGAGCCAAAACAATGTTTTCTTTAAGCCCAAGACAAATTGAGCGAGATCGGTGAAGACAAGAGAAAAGAAAAACAGTAAAGAGTAACAGAAAAACGGAGAAAGAGAACTAAAAAAGCAAGAGAAGACGAACAAAATGAGCTCACCGAGGCGTTTTAAGGTACCGCTATGCCCGATTACCTTATAACTACAGTCAATTTGCTTGTTTAAATAACAAAATTAAGTTCATAATTATTTTTTGTACTTCCTGATTATGCAAAACAAATACAAAACAAAACAAATAAGTTGAACAGATCTTATAAATAAGTTCAAGTTTTCAGTTTTTGTTTATTTGAGCAACAGATGGCGGTTCATAAAAAGGGGTACGACTGTATGTATACAGATACTAACAGCACGTGACCATATGGTCAACTTCCGATTCCAGCATCGGTGCAAATATTTTTGCTAGACCAGACATCAGACTTTATAAAGAAAGAGTACCCACAGATCGGAAGAGAATGTCAAAGAGAGCCAAATTGTCCAACAGGTGAGCGAGTTATATTGCCAGCAAGACAAATTGGTGGCGATTGTGGAAAGGTTTTCTTTGTCTATGTCTGTGCTTAAATCTGTGTGAGTACGTGTGTTGGCTAGTTGGGCGATAAGCGGCGATTGCTTGGAAACAGATCACAAAACTTAGCCACAGTAAATTGGAGTGGGATTTTTATCCATTCGAAAAATTTGTTAGAAAAAAAAAACCAAACAATTTAAATAATTTTATTCAAATAACAAATAAATCAAAATATATAAAGATATGCATTTGAACATTTTGTACTTTATAAATTCCAGTTTCATCAAAAATAATTAGACATCGAACTCATTGCTACAAAAAAACATTATTTAGATAACATTCACAAAAACACTATGTTATCATTGAAGAACAAAAGTTCTTGCTTAGACGACAATGTCATCATAACATTTTAAATTCCGATATATTTAACCCAACTTCCGATTTGAAAGGTAAAGAAAAGTTAAGCAACGGCAGGCACTCATTTTACTATACTTTTAAAGTCCTAAAGCCAATTACTCACCTCCTGTGTGATGTCCAGTTCGTGGCGTGTGTTGTCATAGAGCGTTTCCAGTTCCTCGCACTTTTGCTGCAGGGCGGACTTCTCTTCCAACAGGGACAACCCGTACTGGGCGGACTGGGCGCTGGCGGAGGACACTTGGTCCAGTTCGCGGGTGAGGCGCTCCACCTCCATTTGCAGATCCTGCACAGATTGGGCCCTGGGTTTGGCCATTATCCGTGCTGTTGGGACTGGACATGATGGATGAGGTGTCCTTTCCTAGTCGTGGTAAGGGGGACGTGGGGCGGGGGGTGGACGGTACAGCTGCCCGCGGGCGTGGCAGGTGATTTTGCTCGTTGTTCTTGTTGTCCTGGGCGGAATCTTTTCGATACGTTTTTTATTTTGGAGGGAAATCGATACAAGTCGATTTGTTTATGCCGGACGTTGAGTGAGTTTCTTTTTGTTTTTGTGCCTTTTTTCTGTCAAAACCCCACACTCACACAACTCCACTCGCGGTGTGCTTTTTTTCAGTGTGCGTGCGTTTCACCTTTTTTCTTTAGCTTGTGTGTGTAGAATGGTGTTTGTGAGTGGCTTTTCTTCTCTTTTTTCTCAACCCACAAAATTGTTAAATTAAACAGCACTTAATGGCCAATTAACCGTGCGCTTTTAACGGTAAATAATTCTGCACCAGCTCGCAATTTACTTAATATGCACGTAAGTCACACACACTCGCACACACGCACACTGCGGCGCTTAAAAAACAGTTGGCAGCAGAAAATCAAAACGCAGCGCAGGAAGTTGTTTCAATTAAGTCGAAAGAAACACTCAAAATGACATCACACAATTTCCCCTTTCTTTCGCTTTCGAAGTGGGAGTTGTGCCCATTTTCCCTGCGATTTTCCGTTTTTGTTTGCCGTCGTTTTACGTATGATCGTTGCACATTTGCGGAGTTAGCGGGACAGTTCTAGATTTAATCGGTTTTTTTATGGAGGCGAATTTTTTAAGCAGGTGCAAAAACAAAAATTAATCCGCAATCACGTCGATTCTTGGCAATGTTTGTGACGGAATTTCGAGTGCGACCGTTAGAGGTGGAAGAAACTTGATTTACTATCGATATTCTTACCATATTTTCCACCCTCAGCTCAAAAAATAAAATTTTGTAACAGCACAAAATTAACATGAATAAAAGTTATTAAAATAAACAGCGTTTTACATAAAGTTGTTAAGTTCTTAAATAAAATATAAATTCAAAACAAAAATACAGCATACATATATTAATACATGGAGGTTTGTTCAGCTCTAGCAATCGTAACTGAAAGCTTTCTCCAAATACAGGGCTACAAAAAATACTACAAAAAATATACTAAAACTGATTTCGTATAATATAATCTTGTACTTGAACCAATAACGAAAAACACAGGTTAATATGGAACAGGTGCCACGATATGTTGATCGTTAATGCAAATAACCATGTCTTGAAACTTGACCGTTAGCATGGCGATTTTGTCAAAAACTGGCGATAATTTTTTAATGAAATTCACCTAACAAATTGATAACTTATTACCACAAAGCCCATGGCTCTTTGGAACACGATCTTTAAAAGACGCTATTGTAATTTAAAATTTTAAGGCCTTTGTTTTGTGAAGAAGCTGTTAAGATGTAAAGATGTTGGTTCACATTAAAGAAATTTTCCTGATATATAAAATTCAAACATATACAGGACAACTCGATAATTTTTACCAAAAGTGCACAAAATATGTATTAAGGTTTTTTGGTTTTCTTCAAGCCCACGAAATTACAAACATCACGATAAATTATAAGCTAGTGTTTTTCGGTTATAAGATGCGCTACAAGATAAATCTTTAGAACAGCGGGTTTTCCAATTTTATCGGGGACTGTCTTAAAATGTTTGTTTTTAAATCTACTTATGCTGCATGCATTTTACCATGATTTTTACAATTTTAACCTAAAAAGTTCGAAAAAGGGTGCGTTTAACATGCATAACCTTGCTCTAATCATTTTATTGTCACCCGCCCTGAGTTAAGCAGAAAAAAATCTTATTCGCGCCTGCCAAGTTTTGAGGTTTTTTTGTGATAAAAAAAAGGCTCAATATTACGGCGCCCTTTCTTATAAAATATGTATTTAAAAGTTCAGAAATAACTTGTGGCAGACGAAAAATACCTTCAAATGTTAACAGTGTATGGATCCATTCTAAAAATAAAACAAAATTATTTTTATCGATATACACGCTGCTCTGGTCACACTATTAATACTTTTGACAGCTCTCTCACATTTCGCCTAATCACATTTACTTTTTATCCAATTCCAAATCGAGGGGATTACTGAAGCCAGAAGACACAAAATGCCGGACGCAGTGCAGCAGAGTTTTGTGCGGAGCTTCATTGACTACCTGAAGAAGCAGGTGGACGCGATGTCGCCTGACCAGAGCGAGAGCATCGAGGTTGCGATTCAGTGTCTGCAGGCGGCCTTTGACGTGGGTGATGATGTGGACGATGCGGCGCAGGACGCCGCCGCTGGCCAGGATCAGGCCACAACACAGAGCAGCACTTCGAGTGCCCCCGGCGGAGAGCCGGCGGCTAGCGGTAGCGCCAGTCTGGCACCGAAAAACATCGACATGTTTGAGCTCTTCCAATCGCTGTACATTGAACGCAACCCGGAATCCCTGGCTTTAGCTGATTCCATAAAGAACGAAGGCAATCGGCTGATGAAGGAATGCAAGTACAACGAGGCTCTGCTGCAGTACAACCGGGCCATCGCCTTTGATCCGAAGAACCCCATCTTCTACTGCAATCGTGCGGCGGCCCACATCCGGCTGGGCGACAATGAGCGCGCCGTCACCGATTGCAAGTCCGCCCTGGTGTACAATAACAACTACAGCAAGGCGTACTGCCGCCTGGGAGTGGCGTACTCGAACATGGGCAAGTTCGCCGAGGCGGAGCAGGCCTACACCAAGGCTATCGAGCTGGAGCCGGAGAACGCAGATTACAGGAACAACCTAGAGGTGGCCAGGAACGCCAGGAATCAGCCGCCGCAGTTGTCGCATGTGGCTGACAGCGTGAACGCCATGCTGGCCCATCCGACGGTTAGGAACCTGTTCGACAGGGCCGAGTTCGATCTTCAGCAACTGCAGTCGATGACCCAGAATCCCATGGTGATGAACACGATTGGCCAGCTGTTGGCCAACATGGGTCAGACGATTCCCGGCGCCGGTGGAGCTGCTCCTGGTGCTCCCGGAGCTCCTGGCAGTGCTCCGCCACAGGCTCCACCCTTGCCGAATGACATGCTGCAGATGTTGCAAAGCTTCGCCAGCCAACTGGTCGGCCCACAGCCAGGCGGTGGACAGAACCCGAATGGTAATCCCGGCAATGGGCAACAGCCAGGCAATCAGCCGCCGCCAAGCATCTAGTAGGTGAACAATCCCAGCCAGGAGCGGCGAAAACACATACACACAGATTAAGTTTTAAGCTGAAACTATAATTACTGTATTTTTAAAGTTTAAAAGGCTTCTATAACGCATATACATATATATTTTTAATAATGGTAATAAATATATCCATAAAAAACGCTGCGTGGCCTTGCAAGTGCAATTACTCGCTCTTCCAATCGAATTTTCCATGGGTGTCAAGTGCAAATGGATTACATAATTACCGTACTTTTTGTTTTAAATACATTTTTTTTATAATTTTTGCTTACTACCTTATAAATAGGTAAATAATTAAAACAAAGCGAATGTTGTTTAATGTTGCTTTTATTGAATTCAAGAAATGTATGCTTTCTGTGTGGTTTTTTGCTGATTTGCATCTCTACGTGGTACAATTGTTGAGTTGATTACATGTTAAATAAAAACTAAAAGGTTTAAAACAAGAACTCAATTTCACAAACACTTTGTGAAGTTTAAAAATTGTTTTCATCAAATCCGGGAAATTCGTGATTCCACAGACTTTAAACTTTGTTTGATAGATTAGATTGATATTGCTTCGTTCGTTCAACTGGTTATCGTAATAATCTTATATTTATGCATTTGACAGAATCGAAAGTTGAGCGTGATTTAAATTCAAAACGAAGCCAACATCCCTTTTAGGGGGAATCATATGAGTAGGGGACGTGGCGTTGTTTGGAAATTTTCACACGAATCGTGGCAAAAACATTTTTCACGAAAATAATAAAAGCAATGAGTGAGTGTATGCGAAAATGGTTGTTAAAATGTGGAATTTATTTTCCAAGAGAATACTTTGCGCTGCAACGAAACAAAAGGGAGAAAGTTACTTGGAAATCGGATGTTATACTCACCATCAATCTCGTGGAGAAGTAGATTCTCCTGTTTCTTTTAAATTCTGCACTCTCCAATCTCTGGGGTTTTTTTTTTTAAGATTATGGACTAGGGACAAACCATTCAAGTGAATTGTACTCGCTTCTGTTTTTCTGCATTTTTTTTTTGTTTACTTAGTACTTGTTGAATCGTCGATTTCTGTAGCCCCCACCGCCACCGCCGCGTTGTCTCGTCCGATTGTTGTTCCCATAGTTCTGGTTCACCTTGTTCGAATACTTTCCAGATGGCGGAGAGTAGAACTTCTGGTCGTTGGATGGCCGCGCCTTCTTTTCCGACTCCTGATCCTTTTCCTTGCCGTTGGCAGCTGCCTTTTCCCCAAAAGTAATGGGAGCATGGCGTTTACCAAGCTTTGTCTGCAAAAAATAATCATTAATATTTCCATAAAAATTAGGCGGGAAAAATAAACACTTTTCTTACCGATTTTGGCACAATCCAAGACAGCACAATATCATGTTTGAATATGGGCGGTGAGTGGAATAGATCGCGAATTAAAACGTTGATGTTTGACGTGGTCTTCAGCGCTGTCTGCTTAAGTTGGTTCTCCTCTGTCTTCAGCTCCTCCCCTGTCTTCCCCTTCAGCGCTTCCTCAAGTTTCTTAATATAACTGCAAAACAAGTAATAGAATTATTAATGCAACCAGTGACTTGGCTGGCTTAAACTTACCCCTGTGTACCCCTAGCTAAATATTGCAATCTAGCTCGAAAGTCTTTTAGCTTCTCTGCGTCCTCAACGAAACTTAAACTATTTGGATGGTTCTTTCCCAGCGTGTGCAGAGCGTACAGCAAGCACTCGGCGTGCGAGAACTGAAACGAGGGCGGGGTATCTCCCAAATCCTCATCGCTCAGCTTTGGCAAAGGCATGTATTCCTGTAACATTGTAAAAATACATTGTTTTAGTTTAAGTGCTTAAGTGAAAGGCAAAGTGAACTCACCAGTAATACATGGTAGACTGCATTAATGCGCTCGCTGGCATTATCCAGCTTGTCCGTATACGTTATCATCTCGGCAAATACCTTCAGTAATCTGAGTTGAATTTGATCTTGTGACACTGCAGTGGCAATCATGTTCCATGTCTTGATGGGCAGCAGTTTATCGCAAACATGAGCCACAAATGCTGTTGATTTTATGGTTTTCTATATAAATACCAATAGATTAGATTTTATAGTTTGCAATTCACTTGAATGTGTTAAACTTACCGAAAAGTACGGCGCCGCTGCAGTGGCACACTGTATAAATCGCTCCACGACCTCATCGTCGACTGCAATAATATCCGTATCCGTGTTATTCAGCTCCGCCTGTTCAGTGGCTAGTTTAACAAGCTCGGCGTGACCGGTGATGGTGCTCCCCAGTTTGGTGGCTCCCAGAATTGTCATGCACAGATGGAACTCGTCAGCGGTAACGTCTTGCAGTGCCTTCTTGATCTCCTCCACGATGTAGTCCTCGATTTCCTTGGTTACAACTGTGGGTCCCATGGTCAGCAGCTTGGTGGCAATGAACTTGAGACAGCGCTCCCTTGTAGTTTCATCCCCGGTGGTGATCTGTTGGAACAATCCGGTGACCGAGCTCTTGGTGTCCAGCTTTATGATAGCTAGCAGCGAGTTGTTGACCTGCTGCAGTTCCGTGGCGTCGTCCAGGATGAGCAGCTGGGCCAGAGTGTCGCCCACTCGGATCGTGGCGTCAGCATTTCCCTGACAGAGTTTTGGAAGATCCTTGATGGCCTGTCGACGGATCTGGAAGATTTTTTAGAATAGTTTTTGATTATAGAAATACTATTAATTATATTGTAAAAGATTAAGATTGTGGAGGACAATCGGACTTGATGATAGATTGAAGATTTTACAATTTTCTAAGCATTATAGAGGATTGTAGTACTTTTATACCATATGTTAAGGTTTAAAGGGCTTTAAAGGTACTCCACCCACCTGTGTGTCGTCATCTTCGCATAAATCAAACTGTGCATCGATAGCTGTGTCGGCCAAATCCGGAAAATGCTTGAAGAAGTTTCCGATGAACTGCGATGCCAAGCGTTTCTCCTTCGATGAGCCCTTTACGGCCTTAATTATTTCTTTATATTCCTCCACATGCTGCAAGAAAATAAAATATATATACATACAAACTTGACATTTCTGATATACAAAATCCCGTTTTTTGCGGCACGTTTTGCAATGGCGGCTTACCTCGGATATTTTATCACCCGCCTCCGACAGGATTTCGTAGCATTTGTACAGTCGCTCTATGTTGTCCATTTTCTTAACCGGTAGTCTTACTAGTTTCCGTGTTTTAATTGTCTCTTCAGTGAGTTTTACACCCTTTTTTCTAGTTAAAAGAGCGACACTGTTTTTTGGTTTTTCACGTTGCAAACAAAATGGTGAGCGAAAGTGTGACCGTTCGGCGAGAGGAGCTTAATGCCAAGAATAAAATTCCCTAAAAATTGACTATATATATTTTTTTCAGATAAGGCAGAAGGGGTTCGAAACTCGAATATGCTGGTTTCTCAAGATGCATTTTGGGTCACCTTTCGCACGCAACTGAAAAACATGCAAATGTGTGAGAATTTTAAAAAATTCTGAAATTTAAAATAATCAAATTTATGGAATCTCCCCAAGCAGTTTCCTTTTATAAAGTAATTTTATTAGCGTGTATAGTTTTTTCTAAATTAATTAAACGTTTATGGAATTGCTTTTAAGGCCTGCTCAAAGTACTCCACCATCATGGGGTAAACTTCATCATACTGCTGGATATTCTTGCGCCTGGCATTGTCCCGATACCTCTGCAATGCCCCCGATATGAGCTCCAGTTTCTCCCGCTCCGCAGTGTGTCCATCCAGCCATTCGATCAGACGCTCATTCGACCAATTGGCCGTTGTGTGTGGCGATTGCAGATCCGCTCCAGCGTGTCCGAAGAGCAGCAGCAACACAATATAGCTGGGCACCAGCGAGTCTTCTCCAATTGTCTGCTTCACCAGCTCCTGGGCCGTTTGGACGATCAGCAGGGACATGGCTCTTAGCAAACGCGACGGCTTCCCCAGTTCGGCGAGATTGGGGCAAAGGGGCTTCAAAGCTTGCTCCATGTGCTGGCAGTCCTGCTTCAAACGCTGTCTTCCCGCTGCGCTCAAAGGACGCAGGATGCACACGTTGTGCAGGAAAAGTTCGATGCAGCGCTTGGCTAGTTCGTGGCCGCACTTTGTGGTCATCTGCTTATCATCAAACAGGGCGATGTGATGCGACCAGGAACGGCTGACAAACTCCTAAAATAATACAAATTATAAATCAATAATCAATAAATCACTTACTTCAATCGAAATTACCTGTAATTCTTTCATGTACATCGAAGGACCCGTGGTGGATAACCGCTCTGAATTTAATCCCGGTTCCCTGTGCATACTCAGAATTATAATACTAATTGTCGTAATAATCGACTCCATAATCTGCTGCAGAATAGTGCCGATCAGCAGATCCGCCTGTTCCAAAGAGCGGGAAATGGTCTCCCTCGCCGTTCCCGGCGTCTTCTCAAATTGCACTTGAAGATCGTTTAACATGCGACGCACCGAATCCTTGTAGTAGTACAGAACATTCGCCAGCTGCGTGTTTTGCTGCTGCTGCAGGTTTGGCAAATCCACAACCTGTTTCGAATCAGCTCCCAGCTTAATTTGGGCCTCCAGTTTGGTGCACAATTCCTTGCCGCAAGCTACGAAAACACTCGCTATGGAGTTCGTGAGACGAGAATCAATCAGAGCCGCACTCAGTTCGGTTGAGGCGACGCGTATAAAGTTGTCTACAGTTTCGTTGCCAGGTAAATCGACTCCAGCCAGACAGGCTTTAAAGTTGGCCGCACATTTGCTAACGTAGCCCACTTCCAGAGGGGCAAACAGCTCGTTGTCGAACTGGAATTCCCCATTCAGACGCTGCTCCAAGCCACGAGCGGAGGTCAGAAGCTTGGAGAGACCCTCCTGAAGCGTTTGCGTCCCGTGCTGAGGGCATTCATCAAAGGATTTCCGCAGCAGTTGCTGCACCTGCTGCCAAAATCGCTGTGGGATGCACTGCTCCGAGGCCTCGGAAGTATAACCAAACTGATTGATCTGCTCCAGAGATGTTTTCAGTAGCTTGATCTGTGTACAGGTCTCAAAAAGTTCGTCGTAGAGCAGCCAGTGCAGTGACTTCCAGAACTTAGCCCTAAAGTTCTGGGTGGTGGTCAACTGGGGAGTTTTTCCCGGTCCTCGCGAAGGCGCTGGCTTGCTAACATTGTGTGAGGGCGACTTATTCAACACGGATATATCGTTGCCGGCAAAGCATTCTTTTAAGGACTGCTCCATGTCGGCGATAAAGGTGGCCAGCAGGTTGTCCAGAGACTTCTCCAGCGTATTAAAGTTCATGAAAATCTATGAGGGTTTCATAAGTAAATTGTATATGGTAATTATTTGGTTCAGCTACCCACCTTTAATGCATTAACCACTTGGTTTTGATTGCGTTCTTGGAGTCCCGTGACCAACTGCATCTGCGTGAGATTTCTTATTTTCTGACCTGAACTGATCACATAATCCCGCTCCTTCTGTATGAACTCAATGTCCTTTAGCTCCTTGTCTTCGATTAGTTGCCCGAGCTCGAAATGCAGCTCCGCCTGGCGCAGGACATCCTTGGTGCTCTTTAACTTGGCCGTGAGACTTAGGAGAGTTCCCGCTGACCGGAGTAGGTGACTGACATCGTGCAGGCGACCGAGCACCTGCGTCTGGTTCTCCACCTGCTGGTACTGCGTGTCCACCTGGCTTTTAAGCCGGTGTCCCGTTTCCCTGACCCGCTGCACATCCTCGGAAAGCGCGTTTAGTGCCGCATCGAATCGTCCTGCATGGGTGGCCTGCTGCAGGAGTGCTCCGTGCTTGTCCCGCACCTGCTGGTAAAGCTCCTCCTTAGTGTTCTGCAGTTGTTTCGACAGCTCCTGGATTTGCTGGCCAATCGTCAAGTGCGACATGGAAGCGGTGTAGTCGTCATCCGAAGTCGTCGCATTTTGGGGCTTTGACGCAACCGGATCACCAGTCACCATGATAGAGGATGATTTTATCTATAATTAGGGTAGTAAACCTGTTTAATTACACGTTTCTTTCTGTTAAATGGATCAATTTTATTACAAGCAAGATGTTTATTCCACGCAACCAAAAGCGGCCTCCAATCGATAACTTTTAAAGGGAGTGGGTCAATTTTTTTATAAAGGGGGTTCATATTTGGAATCCAGTAATTTAAAGCTACAAACATCTTCACCAGAACAAAAACACTTATTTATAAACAAATCTAGGACAATTGTTTTATAGTTTACCGTATCCCGTTATTTTTTGAACCCCTTAACTACGCCCCTGTGCTTTTACTTATCGATTGTCTTAAATCAGCTGTTGCTCAGTTTGTTTTGTGTAAATAATTGGATGCGGAGAAAAAACTTATTTTTATTATTTCAAGTCCGCTGTTTTGACTCTTTTACACTCTCTCCATGTCGGACGACATCAAAAAGTATTTAGATGGGCTGCTACAGAAGTTAGTATCCCGTAAAAACTAAGTTTGCTGCCGAACTAACTTGGGCGTTTTGCCTTTTACTTTTAAGGGTCAGCGGCCTGTATGTGATTCAGATTACGGATCGCGACGGAGTGCCCCTCCTCCGAGTCAGTCAGGAAAAGAACGTGGACTTTGCCCTGATGCCCTCGTTTATTCCGACATTCACCACTGCCTGTGACCAGGCGAGCAAACTGGGATTGGGGAGGAACAAGACTATCATCTCCATGTACTCCAATTACCAGGTGGTGCAGATGAACAAACTGCCGCTGATCCTGACTTTTGTGGGGGCGGAGAACTGCAATACGGGCCACATCCTCGCTCTGGAGCACCAGGTTGATGGTTATCTGGAGGACATTAAGCTCGCCGTCACCGAGGCATAGAATTAATCTAAACTGTAATATGCATATTTTTAAAAATTACTAAATGTTTATACTTTATTGAAAAGGAAATGTGTTGGGATGTTTTTTAAACGACACCTGGTGAACATAAGATAAAGAATGTAAGTCCTTTTCTTAATTGAACACCAATATTGTTTTGAAACCATGAAGAATATTTTTTTTCAAAGTACCAAATGTCCACACTTTATTCAAAACGAAACTTCATTTTTTGTTTAAATGCACACATTACATTGATTTACTTTATATAGAAACTATTGTGGGTATTTTTATATCACCTATATAATCTTTGTTACATTGAAACATCTTGTGCTCAAATATTACAAAATTAAGTATATTTAAAACATGAAACTTAAAGGTTTTCCATGCTTGGTCTTTACATATAACATCAATACTTGGACTAAGCAAGGGAATGACTTCAACAAAAATTCCGTAATTTACTAAAGTACATTCCAAAAACTCCCGTCCTTTGATATTTCAACACTCAATGTGCTCAACTATAATTTTTTTTTTACAAATACTAGGTGTTTACACTTTATTCAGAATGAAACATGATGTACTTTTTGCTTAAATGCATACACTGAATTAATTTGCTACAATTCTTGATGATTTTCCTGCAACAGCTTGGGAATGATCTCGACAAAATTAATATTCTCCTTTAAAACTAAAATACAATCCCCAAATCTCTGATTTTCGTATGCCAAGCACACACATTTCTGTTAGGCTCATATTTGATTGTTGATCTTTTCAGAGTTCGTCGTGAAGGTTTTCGGACTCCGCTTGGAAAGCTTGGCTGTCGCAGGCGGCGGGAGTTTCGAATTCAAAGTAATATTCACAGCGATTGGGTTCGCTGACGGCAGTGATTTTGGGTTCCAGAGCACAACTGATGTTGATAATGGCCGAACGGTTTGGACCATTCCAGCAGGCGGCTCCATTGGAGTACTTTTGCTGTGAGAACTTCTTGGGCTCTCCGATCCACTTATCCCAACGACCCAGAGTGGTCTCGGATCCTCCGCTCCTTGGCTTCTGCGAGGCACGATCGAAGGGACAAAGAGTGTAGACATACTCCCGATCCTCGAAGTTGTAGCACTGGCCATCGTGCACAGCCCACTCCTCGGTCAGGCCGTAGCCCTTTTCGTTCTGCTCGTCGATCTCCTTGACCTCCTGATCGATCTCGCGCAGGCTGCGTTCCACTTCCTCCAAAGCATTTCGAGCCTCGTTGGCCTGTTCAATTAAACGCAGAGTCTCCGGATCGTAATTTGGCGGCGTGGCTTCCTCGACAGCGGGAGAAGCTTCGCCCACACCAACATCGGGATCCTCGTCATCGTATTGATCCTCTTCGCCCTCTTCATCAGCCTCAATCTCTTCTTCACCAGCCAGATCAGCTTGTTCTGAGAAAAAAAAAATAAAAATTTAAGTCGCTTAGCACAAAAAAACAAAAAATTTTTATCTTGCTCAAATGTTTTGTGAACATGCAAACAATAAAGAAAAACAAATAAGCTTCAAACTGATCAAATATTGACTCAATTAAACCCATCTGTATGAAATTGCAAAACGAACGTAATGTTTGAATATATGAAACAGGGAAAACTTTTCTTACCTTCGCTTGTCTTGGGTGGCGTGGGCTGGATAGCTTCGGTGTTTACCTCCGCTTGCTCAGTCTCAGCTCCTGTCGTAGTTTCCTCCGGCTGCGGCGGCTGGAACAGACCCTCGGCCAGCATTGCCAGAGGTTTGATCCTTGGCCAGGCGAGCGTAACGAACGCATCGAGATCCACACGTTCGCGTTCGTCCAGGAAGAACTTGGCCTCCTCGACGGTAACCACGCCGTTGCGATCCCTGTCCAAATTCATGTCCACCATCAGTTCGGTGACCTCGACGAAGCCATCCTTGTTGGTGTCGTAGCGCACGAAGCTGAGCGATGCCTCCTGGCGCATTTGTTGTGGCTCCTGCTCGGCCTGTGCGGTTTCCGCATTCAACTCGCGCTGCTGCTCCTTGAAGATTTCAAGGGCCTCCGCTTCCAGAGTCTCGGCGTTCTTCTTAAGTTGCTCCTTTTCGGTGCGCAGGAGTTCCTGTTCCTTGCGACGCTGGTCGAGCTCAAGGCGGCGGGCTTCCCGTTCAGCCTTCAATTGCTTGCCACGGGTTATCATTTCCTGTCGCCGCTCGGCACCTTTTTTGTGCAACTCCGCCTGGTTTTGCCTTTGAATTGCGGCCGCTGCTCCGAGTTCCAAACAAGTGTTTGGGCAACCGACCACCTGTGACTCATCGCTGCCGTCGCAGCAGTCACAGATTCCGTCTTGCACCTGGGAACTGGGTATATCCACCGGCTGGTGGCCCTTGTTCAGGCAGTGGAACTGACCATTGGAGCAGGCGGAGGTGCCCGGCTCATCGCTTCCGTCCGCACAGTCGCAGAAGTCGTCGTTGATGTGCGTGAAGGGGATGGTTTTGCTGCCATCCAAACAGCTCCAACTGTTGTCGCCCGCTCGTGGCTGGTACAGTGAAGACTTTGCCAGTGAGACTCCCAACGGACGTGGAACTTCGCTGGCTAAAGCTGCGTTTAGGACCAGCAAAGCCACCACGAGCGGTACTAGCACCATTTGGCTGACTTCCAAGCCTTGCATTTTGGCGGTAATTGTTGCTATTCCTAGTTAATCTCCTAGATTGAGTTGCTGGCCAGTTGCTGTAAGTCTTACGTGGAATTTGCTATGGTTTTTTTACGAGTCGTAAATGCCGGTGTAGGACTAGCGATGGCAACATTGACAACTATCGATAACAAAAGTCAAGGGCGGATGCTAAAATCGCCCAGAAGGGTTTAATTTGAATATAGTACGTTGATATTCAACCAGTGATGAACGTAATGTCTATATTTTGTTAATAAGAGTCTTTATTTCAACAAAACTAGATAATAGAATACTTGAACCCCCTGCTACGCCACTGTCTGTTGCGTTGTGTGGCAACTCTGTCCAATCAGCTGCCGGTTTGTTATTTAACCAAATTGGAGAGGCAAAGAACTCATAAAACAATGGAATTTCTGACTAAAGTGTGGGCCAAAGAGGCACCCAAACCTGTCGAGATCGAAGCTACCACTAGCACAGCACAGAAAAAAAACAAATCCGCCGCCAGAAAAGCCAGCAACAAGTCAAGAATCCTCTCAAGAAACCAGCACTGCCCAGAAGGATTGGGGTTATGACTTGTATCCAGAAAGGAGAGGGGAGACCTTCAAGCCCAAATGGACGAGGATATTGTTTGGCATGGAGGGCCAGGAAAACATCGATCGCTTCAAGTGCGAGGAGAATGTTTATTGGTGTGTTAAGAACGGTCCCCTGGTGAAACTGATGATGGGAGCACTAAAAAGCTCAGGTTGTCCCATCGATCTGCGCCGGCACATCTCCTGCGAGGTGTGCGATCCCTCGGTCACCGGTGGCTACGATCCTAAGCTCAACCAGATCGTGGTCTGCCAGAACATGGCCAAGAATAAGAGCATGGTCCATGGCGTCCTTACCCACGAGATGATTCACATGTTCGATTATTGCAATAATGACATGGACTTCCGGAACGTCGACCACCTCGCCTGCACGGAAATCAGAGCGGCGAACCTGGCCCATTGCTCCTTTTTGAGCGCCATGTTTCAGGGAGATGCCTCGCCTTTTAATGTTAAAGAAGCGCATCAGGTGGGTGATATTAGTATATGATATTTACCATTTAATCATTACATATATCATTATATTCATCAACATTTTCATTTTTAGAACTGTGTAAAGTCCAAAGCTTTGGCCTCAGTACTAGCTGTACGCAATATATCAAAAGAAGATGCCATTGCTGCCGTGGAACGAGTATTTCCCAAATGTTATGCTGATCTGGAGCCCATTGGCCGGAGAATCCGTCGCAACTCCACGGATCAGCAAAAAGCCTACATGGAAGGGCCCATGTATGGCTATGATGTATATTAAATTGTAATAAATAATTTCGTTTTTAAGTGCCTACGCAAAAAGTTAAATAAAACTATGTTTTAAGCTTTGGGTTTTTGAATGTCATGCTGCCAGACAGAATTAAATTTTAGGCAAATGGTTGGATATTAGTTAAATTTTGTACGATTAACCATGAAAATGTATCAAGTTCAAAAGAAAATGTTGGTTATTAATTAAAACCAAACTGTATATATAACCCACTATTTAGGTTGTCGATTTTAGTTAGGAGTTTGAAATAAACCAAAAGTCATGGAGGATTGTGAAATAATCGGAGTGATATTTGAAATGATTGGAGACATGCTGTTCGGCTGTAAGTTGGAGGATATAGGAGAAGTGGAACTGGACAAGTAATACGAGCCAAAATCACTTTTTAACAAATATTAGTATAAAACTTAATATAGATTAAATTGTTAAAACTAATTTATTTTTGCAGCTGACAGCTCTTCTGATGATGATTACGACTCTTCGACCACATAAAATGCATTTATAAAACTCTAAAGAAAATTAAAAACCATCAATTTAATATAAATTGTTAAATAAATCGAGCTTAAAAAATAAAAACAAATAATTGACCATAAAAAAGGGTATATATACTTGAAAAGAAATCAAAAACCAAAGTTTTATTCAACAATATGGACTGCTGTGAGCTGCCGGAAATATTTTTGAGTTTTCTCAACGACCTCTTCTTCTCAGACATAAGTAATACATATTTGTTAAACATTAACAAATAGGCCTGTAATGATTATTATTTTTTGTTTGTAAAGCTGATGAGGAGTACTTCGGTGATTATTACGACAACCAATATTGAAATAATCACACGATTGCGGTGTAACAAAGCAAATAAATTTGATATGAGCATTTACCTTTAAAAGCTTTTCAATAGGCATAATATACTTTAGTATTATTGACCCAAATCATGCAATGATTTCTGGTTCGAATTAAGTCCGAATTTAGCGTGCGTTTTGGTCATGGCTCATTAAAGGGGTCTGGGTCAAAACTGCTCCCGAGCAGTAATACCATTATACTTTGTTACAAAACGTTAAGCACAGCGGACCGAATATGTTTTGGGATCTCCTCGGTGGAATTTTCGAGTTCATCTTTGGGCTCCTGTTTCCAAGTAAGTTTTTGGTTAATTAATAATTATTTTTTGTTTTTTTGTAATGATTCAATTTGGTGCATAGGTTCCGGCAGCGGTGATGAACCAGATTCTGAGGAAGTGGAAACAACTTAATCGACTACAAAAATGATAATTTTCATACTCTTATTGATTCGCAAAAGTTCCATGTTTTCGCTTTATTATATCTACGTAAAGTGTGTATATTTAACATAAATCGCTTCAACAGCTACTATGTCTTCATAGTATTCATTAAAAGTGAGGAATATATACAGTGCGCACTTGTCAGACGCATTTCAACAAGTTCCAAAGCTCAAAACAATTTGAATTGCTTTTTCAGCTCCATTTTTTTCCACTTGGGCAGCTCGTCAAATTCGTAAAATGACATTTTAAAAACAGAGACAAAATCGTCGTGGGTGAGATGAACCTATAAAGCAGAAAATAACGTTTAGAAAAGCTATAGGAAATAATTATCTTTTTTTGTTTGGACAAACCTCTCTCTTCAGGGGATTTATTTCCGGGGGTAGCATGTCCATTTCCTGGACGAGTACGGTCAATGGATACTTTTTGTGACCATCAAAGTCCTTTTGCATGTTGTTTAGAAGCAACGCTGAACCATCATTTGCAAGGCTACAGGTTTTGGGCACTGCATTGCCCAGATCCTTGCGCATTTCCTCATATGATAAAAAGTTCTAAAAAGAAATATAATCAATACAGTGTAATTAAACTCCTCGAAGCTTAAATTCACACTTTTACCTTGCCGTAATCGTTCTGCCAGGACTCAAAGAATCCCTTGAACACATTTGGCTCTTGGAATTGCCTGACGACAGCCAACGCCGTGGCTGATCTGCGTCCGAAGGGAGCATTCTGCACGTAGCTCTGTGCAATTGCAGTGTAGCGTTCCTGGTTCAAAGCCTGAGATCCCAGCCAAACGTAAGTGAGGGTTCCAGTGTCCAGGATATAGGTGCAATCCGAGCTGAGATCCTGCTGATCGAAGCCGAGTATCTCCTCGTACCTCAGCGTGCTCTGTTGCCACCAGACCATGAATAGTTGGACCGGAGGTCTCGGTTTACTCGGTACACTGGTGTTCAGATAGCAATTGTTGCTGAGGGTGGGTGATATGTTGCCACCATTCGAGCTGCCATTGCACATGCTACCGGCTCCACTGCTGCTGCTCGTACTGCTGGAGCAGGAGTTTCCATTCCCATTGATCACCAGGGTTTGGTTAAAGTACATGGCCACCGATTGCCAGAATTCCTTGCTCTCCTTGCCCTCGAGAACCAGTGAGCTCTCTCCCAAAAGCGCGCCTACAGATTTCGCCATTTCGCGGGCATCGCCAGTGCTACTCTGTCCGCACCAAACCCAAACATGATTCGTTTTGATCACATAGCAATCTTTGGAGCTGATCGATGACAAAGGAGTCTCTTCCACAGCCTTGGCATTGTAGCTGGCATCGCCGTAAACCTTCAACAGAAAAGTATCCTCCAAGACGTTCCCAGTTGCGCTTCCGTTGTAAAGCATTTCGCTGCGTTGGCCTCGCATGATAATCAGTTTTCCCTCGAAGATCTGAAGGAAGTGCGGCGGCTCATCGAACTCATAAAGCTGTACGAACATTTCTGGCTCCTTGAGAGCATCGAAATTGGCCTTGGCAAACTTATCTGCTCGGGAAATCGATTCGGCAGAGGCCTCCGAACCGTTCCACTGGTAAATTATGGTTTTAATGCCCACCGAGGCAAGATCTGCTGGAACAACAGTGGCGCACTAAAAATATAGTTTATGGGTTAGTTTAAATATGATACATGTGTTATAAGCTCATCCTCACCTGCACACTGTACTTCACCACATAGCTGGCATTCGTGGTGAAGACCACCGTTTTGGAAGCAGGCAGTTCCTGCACCTGATCTCCCCAAATGCGATACAGTATCCTTTCGCCCCTTCCATCATCAACGAGCTGTGTATCCGCTGCCATTTTTGGACGCTCGCATAGGGAATGGGCATCTAGCTTGCCGAACTTTGTGGACACCGGCTTGTGACCCCTGGAGTTCTCCTGCCAGATGTTCAACCAGTTGGCAAACAGTCGCTTAAACTCCACCGGTTCGTGACCCTCCAAAACTCGTACGACCAGCGTGTTATCCGGATACTTCTTCTTTTTCACGAATGCCCGTCCATTTCCCATGGCAGAAAGAGCATCCGCTTGGGGAGCCTGAGCTCCAACCCACAACCAAATGCTCTGGCCGTAGTTATCCAATAGGTAGACGCCATGGGCATCGCTCAGATCATCCTTTGCCGGCATTCCCACATCCAATTGATCCAGATGCAATCGGCCTCGCTGATTGCACTTGTAGATCCGGAACTTGTTGCTATTGTAGTCGGCATATTCGCTGACCAATTGGCTGGCCTGGCAGACCATCCGTTGCTTGAGCGGCAGCAGGGAGTTCCACAGCTCTTTGTTCTCCTGCGACATTGCCTGTTCGTAGCCATCGTCCACAATTGTGATGGGCGATCCACTGCAGTGCTTTTGAACCCAAGCGAGGCCACTTCGTCGCTCGATTCCCGAACTTGAGCGACCGATCCATACGAAAATGAGGCTCTCCGTTTTCAAGACCATTATGTAATCCGAGTTGAAGTGCGACCAATCAATGGTGGCCAACTCAATGGATCGCAGCCATTTGCGGGCGTGCAGTTGGTAGAGGCGTGGCCTTTTGGGGGCGTTTAAAAGGGCTCCCGAGCGAACGCTGTAATATAAGTAATAATTATTATTTTACATACGAGAAAAAACAGTTTATTTATTTGAAATCACTTTAACTTACTCGTAACCCTTCTTGAAGTAAGAAAGAAACCTTGCGCTCTCTAAATTCTGGGTCTCCCTGTAAATAGACGATATGTTTCCCAAATAAGAGTCCAGCTCCTGGATTTTGTGCACCACATTGGATCGATTCTGCTCGCTGACATTCTTGCCCAGCCAGTAGTGAATATATCGCTCCAACACCACATTCGACTTCTGTTCGCGTGTCTAAAATAGTGTAAAATATTCATTAGAAATTGAGGTAAACAAGCTTATCAATAATATTTGCTTACGATGGTTTCATGGTTGGCATAATGACCCGGCAAACTGGCTGCGTAGATAATGTAGGCGCAGTTATCGTAGAAGGTTCCATGTTGCGATCGGACGACTGCCTCCAAACGATCTTCGTCGATTTTCCAAAGGGCAAAGGTTATCGCATTTTTTGCCACCTTGCGGAATGTGGCATCTACTTTTAAATCGGGAATGGTGTTGGGACGGACCTCCTGAAATATTATAATAAATAAATAAATAAACTTTGTAATGGCAATAACCTTTATATTTTCACGAATATAATTAAAATTGATGAAGGAATACAATTTATAATTTGAATAAACAGATACTAAATGAACTTAAATGACTTTTGTGGGCAACAAAACTACCAATTTAATTTCCATTTCTTGGGCACTCCTCTTTCTTGGTTTAACATTAAGGTGTAAGATGCATTAAGGTGTAAATCTGGTTTAATTTCATGTACAATTATTATTTTTTTGCTCCTATTTTGGCATAGCCTCTGGCAGGCTGTTCGAACAAGCATTTACCACTAAATTAAACACCTTTCAAACGATCCCCAATTGTTACTGTCATGCGACACTTTTCAAAGACCAACCAGAAACACAAGAAATAAATTGATTTTGTTCAAATAACAAAAAAAAAAAAAAGAAATAATAAAATGGAAAACCGAAATCGAAACCCGTCTGGGGAAGTGCTCTGCATCCAATTGGTGGCAAGTGATAGTGAAAACCGAGGCGGGCGTGAGCCACATTTAAACCACATTGGTGTTGCATCCAGTTTTTCGTCGTTGGCCGCTGGCTGTCGAACATTAAGTTTTTATTTATTTATGGAACGCAGCAAGGTGGAAAGCGGTTGCCAACCATCGGGTGCATGTATATATTTATATAAATATATATATATATCAACTGATGCCTACATCTTCATCTCGATGATCTTGGCTAACGGTTTGGGGGTCATTAGGCTGCCTTTGGCTAATTAATGTTTTGACTCAGAGAGCCATTTCATTTGGTCGCTGTGATTACACTGACGTGCTCAGTGACCAAAGACAAGTTCACGCTTCGTGTGGCAGAGTCTGCTACACCCACAAAATGACATTTCGCAGAAATCACAATAATGACTGCTGGCTTTTTCTGGGCTGCTCATAAATAAGCAATGCATAAAATGCGCTGCACCACACATAACATGAAAACATTTTAATTGTCGCCTGCAAATGGCGAAATAACTCGGATTACTTTTGATTGGGGTTGGGCTAACCAGGTTTTCCAACTCTCTGTCTCTATGAATGATTGATCTTCGCTGTTGACAGCCAAACTACATTTGTCATAGTCACACAAAAAACAAACACTGAAAAACTGGCACAAGTAAATTTCCTCTGCCAACTGCAAATTATAACAATTTTTTGCTGCCTTTGTTTTTTAAGTTGATGGCCCCCAAAGAGACTTTCACAGTCGCCAATTAGCGACATCAATCGAAGCGAAAGCCTATCAACGAAATGTTCTGAATAGAGTGTCAAAAATAAATTTAGATATCCATCTATCTTAAGTGAAGCTCGGCGTGAATAATCCAACGTCAGCTTTTTACTTTCTTTATAAAGAGCTATTAGTTTGATGGATGAAGCTGAACAGTTTAATTGTTTGCCATCGCTTGCTTTAAAAGAGGGTTCAATTTTGGAACAATGCCAAGCTGAATACTGTATTTTACTAGTTTCTACTAGTTTCATTATTTATTAATTTGCCCCGCAACAACTCTACCGAGAAATCTTTACACGATCTAACCAAACTGCACCATCAGAAACCAAAATTATTGTAATTGATAAACAAATAATCAGCAGCTCGTAATTAACAGCATAAGCAAAACTGGCTAAATAAACTTGTCCGGGGTAAAGATCGCGCCAAGATGGATGTAAATATAGGAGAGCTGATGGGAGAGATTGGGGATTCGGGGTGGTATGCATAATGAAAAGCCTGTAGTTACCGTTTCTTTTGGTGACAGCGATAGCTCCATGTTGGCGGGTCTCAAAAAACCCGCGGATGTATCTGTATACATATCTGAAAGATGCTTTCAAGCTGCCTTGAACTAGTTTTGTTTCTCTCAATTTGATGGCAATGCCAATTGGAAGCCGGCAAGCGCGGCTCAAAGTGAAATCCTTGCGAGTTTTTCCCCAACGCTTTTGAAAAGCGAATGCCGCACACTCACTTCACACACACGCAGCAGTTGAAAAGCGGTCGATGGAAGTTTCACAGGCTCTCAAACAACGATCATAAAAATATTTGCAAAAATTTTGAATGGGTCTATAGATCCCCGAAACTGAGCCGAAATTAAGAGTTAAACTGAAAGTAAAGCCAAATGCTAGGCTGGATTCGATTCGATTCGAAACGGTTTCGATTCCGTTTTCCCAACTCTCGCGGCTCGAGTTTTTCCCCGCAGAGGTTTTTCCTCGAGACTCTTGGCGAACGCGTCTTTGCCAGCAGAAAGCCAACTGCAGACTGGTCGCCTCGAAATGCCGCGCTCCAAGTTTATGGCCAGGCCAACAGCAGCTTCGAGCCAAAAGAGCAAGTGGGAAGCTCCGCGACTGTGACTCAGAAATGAATGAAAATTATCAGTTATACTGTCGGTTTTCCTCTCCGCCGACCTCTCAAAACGCGAACTGGCTGAGAAAAGCAGAAAGCGCAGCGCGGCTTTTGTTGCGGTTTCTTGGCGGTGTTTTCCTCGGTCTTTGGCCAACGGAACCCAACTCTTGGCTCTGGGCAAAAGGCCAAGAGGAAGTGCTGGCAAAAGGGTCTTAGCCAATTCTTACCGGGTGTTTGCTAATTCTTTCTATTAGCTCTCAGCGGGCAGACGTTTACTTTAAAGTGGGTGATCAGGTTCTTTAAGTTGGGCGATCCAGTTTGATAATGGGAGGTTTAAATCTTTACCAATAAATATTAAATTAATTTCAGTACATTTTAAGATAAACAAGCTTTAAAGTAATATTTACTTATATCATTATTCGATGTTGAATTGCTACTTTCAAACTTAAACAAACTATAGGAAACGATTTGCATTTTTGGTGTTATGCTTGTGCTTGATTTATTATCTTTATGAATGGAGAGAGTATTTATTCTTCTACCTTTTTGGCTCAACTGTATCACTTTTTGTCCAACTCCACAGTGTGCTGCACTGGCATTCTCCACAGGCAATCAAGCACAAACAGTATCGGTGTTGTATATACTCCATCGATTTGCATCTCTCGGGTTTCCTTTCCAGCTTTTGTCAACCGAACTGACGCGCTCGACTGGCTTGAGTCTTCACTTTTATGATTTATGCTTGGAGACTGGCAGACGGGCATTTGTCATAATCATTAACAGCCAACGGGGAATGGGAATCGGGGGATTGGAGAATGGGGATTGGCTATTGGGAGTCGGAACTACAAACTCCCCCGGAGGAAAGTGTTTGAAATTATTTCGGGGGAATAATTTGGCAGCGATTTGTTGAACAACTCAGAGCCTCGAGTTCGTCTCAATTAAGTCGAAAATGTTTTGTGTATGACTCGGTAATGAGTCGAAATGGTTTTCCAGTGTGTTCCAAAGCGTGAAAGACACTAATGGTTTTGGCCCAGAGAACCGTGTATCTTGGTATCTGCGTATCCACCTATCCGCATCTTGGCAACACAATGCGATGCCTTTCAAAAAGAAAATAAAAACACAGCTCTCTTTGTTGTCCATGTTTCATGTTTCCATGTTTCCATTTTTTTTTTTTGCCCCCAAGTCTCTGGCCAACTCAAAACTCTGACAAGTTCAATCAACCGTTGAGGTTGAGGCGTGAACTGGGGAAATGGCGAAAAACAAAAATGAAAGCAATTGTAAAATGAAAATGTAAATTGTAAATGTGCAAAAGATACAACATACGTAGATCCGAAATGCAAAGCATTTTCCTTCAGCTGAAAATGTGCGACTTTTAGCATGATGGAAAATGCAATTTACGATTTATGATAATTACACACGTCAACCCGCACAGCAAGACAAAAAAAAAAAAAAAAAACGACCGGGCAATTGACTTTTCCTATTACCAAAAGCCAGCAAACAATCAAATTGTTTGCCTTTTGTTGCGGTGGTGCCAAAACGCCAAACACATTAAGACCATTTTGTGGCTGCCACACGCGACATTTACGTAAACAAAAAACAGAGTCGGTAAACCGAAATGCAAACATAAGACATTGCAACAGGGCACACAAATGCAACATCGACTTGTGGCATTTTCCGCAACTGCCAACGGGAAACGAGCCGGGAAATGTACCGCTTCAGACGTTTTTTTTTCTATTTTTTATTGTTTTATTTTTCCTCTAGCGGTGATTGTGCCAATGGATCTTTGGTCTTCTCCAGCCATTTCATTAGCCACAACTGAAGATGGCCACAGAATGGCAAGCATGCTGCTCGAAGTTGATCTTCGGGCTATAAACAGCCCACATTAATTGCCCACCGATCCAGATCCAGTCAAAACCACCAGCTGACTCCTCTCAATGGTCTTTTGCTTCATGGGAATGGCCTGCACTTCTTGTGGTTTAGGCCATGATCGATTTACAGCCAAGTGCGCCAGTTGCAGAAGTGTAATAATAATAATAAAGTACTCTTAAAGTGCAAGTTTTACTATTTATTATTATTATTATTATTATTGTTAAATAGTAAAACTTGCACTATTTATGAGTAATGTAGACATGAAAAGAAACACTAAAATAACTTTATTCGCACATTTATGACAGAACAATTAATGTTTGCAAGATTAATTTCTTTAACTGTTGATAGAGACATCTAAATTTGAGATTCTTGGCACAGATGAACTGTTAAAATTTTATTAAAAGAAAGTTTAACATCATGTATCCTAAACCATTGATTTTTAGGTTTAAATTCCTTAAACCAGATACCCATTTTAATAAAAAAATCTTTAAAAATGTAACCCAAGAATATAATTTCCTCTCTTTTAATTGTTTTTTTTTAAGACCAAAAGAAAGCAGTATATCAAATGGTAAAAGCAGGATATCAATAACAATAACAGGTGTTTTGGCTGGCAGTGCTTTTGATTTAGCATTAATAAATGGTTAATTAGCTGCGATAGGCGGGTCGAATGCCGGCGACCACAAATCAAAATGTTTTTGAAAGGCGTTCGATCTTTGGATTGAAATTCGAATTGGATTTTACGCTGGTACAATTGATTCGCTGCAGATTTCCCGTAGCTGCTACCGCAGATGATGATGATTTTCCAGTTTTTCTCTTTCTGTGGTTTTTCTCCTCCTATTTTCGCTACTTGTAATAACAATTTGGAATTGTCTGCTTCCCACGCCGAAAAGCAAAAGCCAAAGTAAAGTGTGGGTGAATTAAGCACGAAGAGTTCAAAATAATTTCTTCATTGAATTCGGTGGGGAAGGGGAAAGTTGAACAACAATTGCGATGGAAGCTGAGCATTTGGGAGCCATAAACAAACGCCGCCTAACGGTTGTTTAACTGTTATTTAACATGCAATTAACCCGGCGTTAAATACTTAAAACCAAAAAACTGAATAATGCAAATGTAACCAGATTTGGTTCGGGTTCAGCTGCGCTGAGATAATCTCTAAAAAAAAAAAAACAAAACTCGGACTACACGCAGATGTGCTGCAATAACTTTCTAACTAAGGGGTCATTCGTCTTAATTATCACACAACTGGGAAAAGCTCAGCTCAAGAAATATTCATTAGGCAGGCCCTTAAAACAAAGTTTCAACCATAATCATATATTTATACCACCGGCAGCCTCTGAAACATTGTCCATTGACCCATTTGCATTTGGCCAAGTCTACTAAGATCCAAGAAAATTAGTGGGGGAAAAGCCATAAAAGAGGAATAAAGAAAGCTGCGGATGGGTTGGACCTACAGTTGCGTAGAAATAGTTCCCACCTTTATGGTTTGTTTGGCTTCGAAATCCCCTTCCCGGGGTTCGTGTTTATGCGTAGTTCTCCCAACCCAGATGGTCTGTTCTTCATTCTGACATTTAATCACCGGAAGCTATCTTCAAGCATCTCCAGAAGCCCGCTTAATTACGAAAATCTCTTTCGGGTCTCCACATTTCTCTGTCTTCCAGTCTTCCAGCTGGGCGCCAGATTCATATTCAGATAAATCCATTTGCGTTGTGCATTTCATTAGTTTTGGATCGGATTCATTCAAATTGGTTCACCATTTCCCGTGTTATGTGTTTTCTTTGTTTGGCTATGTTATGAATTCGCCAATTAGACACGTCTCTTGTCTACCGCCTGTCTTCCACAGATATGGTAAATTGGAGCCCCCATTATGTTAGATTGCGGCGAACGGGAAACTCTACTATTTTGGGTGCTCTGATTCATTTGTTTGTCTTTGTTCTTCGCGGGAAAAATAGTGATATAATTAATTGATTTGAAGCTGTAAGGTCGACAGAATTGATTCGCTTTGAGGGAAAAACAAAACCCCGTAATATTTGGTAGTTGATATGATACATAAGGGTTTTTGTATAAAGAGTTTAAAGAGGATCCCATTAAAATGAATATGAAAGTTTGAAAAACAACCTAAGAAGAATTGGCAAGGTTTCAACTTCGGATTGGCTAATTATTCTTATATTCATAAAATGCATACTAAATATGGTTTTTTTGTTAACTGATCGATTTTTGATTAAGATTGGTTATCGATTTCTAAGCTAACTACAAAAGTATCTGCAATCGTTAGCTTGAAGTACCCAATCCACTTACCGCACAAACATTTAATTAATTACTTCACACCATAAAAAAGGTGTAGACACATTTAATCACCTTCTGCTTGCAACTCACCTGTTTGATGAAATTAAACGGCGGCATTTTGTGGTCCAATTTGCGGCTGCTGCAATGCAAATTCAATCTAACGTGTGTTCCAATCAAAACAATTTAGCTGCAAATGATGTTGCGCCGGCGCTTTTTGCAAGTCCAAAATTTCTGCAATTTAATTAATTTTTCGCACCCAAGTGGACCGTGTTTGTTGTGTTTATTGCTGTCACCTTTTTGGAATTCTCTTTATTTGGCCGCTTTTTTTGCAATTTGCTTTCGCGTGCTTTTTCGCGCGATTTACCGTTAGGTGGAAAAGAGAGCGCCAGAAGTGATAACGCGTTTAGCTGTTGTTTTTCGCGCACTTTCAAAACAAATTAACCCGAATTAACGCAGAAGCGGAAGTTAAACAAAAGGATTCGCCTTATCCGCTGATCCGTCGCTAAAATGTTAAACTTATTTCGTGAAAAGTCGGCTTACGACTGAACGTGAAAAACTTCAATTGAAGCGGCGCGTCCAGATCGCCGTACATATGTACATACAAACAGACTTATGTACGGTGTACATCGGATGTTATATGTACATACATATGCTTCGCTGCCGACGTCGACGTCAGTGAATGTGACCCTTTCAAGTTCCACTTTTTGACCATGGCCAACATATTTTGGGGTATACTCGACAATTTAAACAGCAGAAACTATTATTTAAACTTTACAAGGTGTTTGTACGCTAACAAATTAAGCAAAAAGTTGTGTAATTGCAATACATTAGCCGGGAATGCTGCATGTGGAAAGTGCGACGGGTTGTGGAAGGTGTGTATTTATACAATGACAGTTGCCGTGCAACATGCATGTGAAAAATGGCTAAGATTAAATAAAAAAAACGTTTGTTGCGTTTTAATCTGGCTGAAAAGTTAAACATCTGAATTGCTAATCTTTCAGATGTTTATCTAAAAAATTTATTGAAATGTGAAGAAAAAAAGATTATGAAATAGTCTTATCATTTCTAATACATATTAAGTTACCCAAACAATACTTTGTAATGTTACTTTTTTCCCAATTTTGTCAATCGTAGTTTTTTTTACAGGGTATCACCGCATCGAATTCCAAAGTACCATTTCTGGTGAACAAGTTCTGCGCTCCGCTGCTCGCTAGTGTCAAAATGCCGGCCGCTGCGCTGCAGACATCACCGCAGTCATAGTATTTAGCCATTCAAAACCCATTCTAAGCCCCCCACCATCATAGTCATACCCATAAACACGGAGGGTTCCCAGAACTCCCCGATGGCTTTTGTTGTTCTCGTTTTTTATTGTCATGGAGCTGGCGTTCGCGGAGAGGTGTCGTCGCCAACAATGCGGAGATGGACAACCCGGATTCCAGGGGACTACTCACTGGTGGGGGTGCCCTCGTAATGGCCTCCGTTGGTCTCCTGATTGGGATTGTCCTTCTCCAGAAGCAGGAGGCACTCCTTCACCGTTATTCTCGCTTGGGTAATGTCCCGCTGAAGGCGCTCTTTGGGCGCCCGCAAACCTATCATTGTGGGCGGCAAATTTGACCTCATCTCGGCCAGGATATTCAGCAAGTCGGAGTACTTATCCACTATATTGGCATTGGCATCAAGAGCTGAAAAAAATTATGGATTGCTGAAGAAAATGTAGATATAAAAGGTATAATAAATAATGTAAAAAGGACTTTTAAACATGATTTACAATTCCTGCATAAACTTTTATTCCCAATCTCTTACTTTTAGATGTTGGCATCATTCCGTTCAGACCGAAATCAAGCCCACCTCTACCGGAGTAGCCGCCCCCATTCGACATGGACATGATTTGCAGCTGGGTCTGCATGTACTTGGTGTACTCCAGTTTGGCCATCACCTCCTTGTATTCACTTGCATATGCGAATGCAGCAGCGTTTTGCTGCTGTTTGTTGCGTTGCATTGCTGCTGGATTCGCAGAGGAAGAACCCACTGCTCCTCCTCCATTCACTCGGGTGATCTCCACTCGCGGCTCCTGCTGTTTGGCCACAGTTTCCGGATCGTTGGACATTGGTTGCTTCTCCTGAGTCGCGGATCGATTGGGCACTGCTGTCACGGTTATGTCGCTGTACTTGGAACGAAAGGATTCAATATCCAGGTAGTCCATGCTGGTAAATCAAGATTCATCAAATGATTAGGTGGGTTTGCTTTTCGATTTGACATTTAAACTGACAGGCCTACTTCGATATTTATATTAAGCCGGAAAAGGTTAATGTGTTTAGATCCCTTGAAGATTTGCTTTATTTTATGAGTTTAAATAATAGAAAGAATAATAGAATAGAAAGGTTCTCTACACATTCTTGTTTATGAAATCGGATCACCCCCAAGACGATAAAAGTTTATTTTCTTGGCCAAGGAAACGCATTGTACTCCAATTACAACTTGAAACCCCATGCACGTGGCTCGACAAACTCATTAAGCCGGTGGATGGATGTGCAGAAAACGGAGCACTTCACTTTAGTATTTTGGTGCCTGTTTTGCCTTTACCCCCAAAAAAAAAAGAACATTTCTTTCTTTCTTTTAGGCTATCGCATGACGAAGCGGGTAATTACCGGCTGCAGAACAAAACACGTTCATAAACAGTTCATTCTGCTGGCGTTGTCCATTCCATTTCCCCCCTTTCCCTCGCCAAAAGCCGCTCAAGCGTGCTTCCCGTTCTGCGCAGGCGCACGCAGCGAATGGCAGCGATCACCCCAATCTTTTGCCATGACTCATTTGAATATTCTAAATACAAACACAGACTGTCTGATCGTCACTGGTATTATTGTACTTGTTTTACATGCAAATTTTGACCAGAACTTTGTCCAGAATTTCGGCTTTAACAATCTTCGGCTGGTGCGTATTAACAATTTAGTGATCTAGAGAGTCTGCTTATTGGCTAGTTAATTGCTGCTCTGGTGCTGGGAGCGGATGATCGCCTCCAGACTGCGTTCCGTCTGCTCTCCGCACTCGAATCGATGGTAGTCGACGATCTCGCAGTTGTGCTCTTGCAATGCTTCGCCCACCGTCTTATCCGCATCCAAAAGGTACTCCTGGTGAATTAGGCACGTCTCATCGTCCTTGTTCTCGGCTGGCTTGTCCTTGTCGTACTCCCCTATCTTCGTCGGCTTCATGCCCACAATCTGCTGGCAAATGCTCTTGTGGAACTCGAAGTCCAGCAGCTTGTGATCCGATCGGTAGGCCACTATCGCTCCGTATTTGCCCACCTGGGTGATGCCCTCGGTGGTGCCCACATTGGTGGGTGCCGGGTGAGCATAGCCCACCAGTTTCAGATCGTTGTTGGCTTTGAAGCACAGGGCTCGTCGAATTGTGGCATTTTCGCCGATGGCGCCGATTAAAAGGGCCAGGTGGTCACCCAGGGTTCGACCCTCCTCGGTGCGCAGGTTTTTCAGGGCGTCCGCATCGAAGCCAAGCTGGAAAGGATATTCAAATTGCAAAATTAGCTAGTTACTGGTATTTAAGAAAGGGGTTTAAACCGGTTTTGTGAATTGTGAGGGAGCCACTATACTATAAAGTATCATATAAGTTAAAGTTATTATTTAATAACTAACTTTACCTTCCACAGATCTCCATCAAAGTCCGTCAAGTCCGTGTAGTGAAGGCACATGCAGGCAACATGGTCGACGAACCGCTTGAAGGTGTCGTTCCTGGCCACAAAATCCGTCTCGCAGTTAAGTTCGACCATTGCACCGCGGTTGCCGCGGATGAGGACTCCAATCAGACCCTGAGCGGTGGCTCGATCTGCGACTTTGGTGGCCTTGGACCAGCCGAGAGTTTGGGCCTGTTCGTGCAACCACTTTTCAGCCTGTAAAGTAAGAGAAAATAGGTAAGTACGATTGAAGAAAGTGACTATAAAGCGGGTTGTAAACGATGAAGAGGCTGTATAACGATTAAAGTGGTTACATGGTAAATTAGAAAGGAAAACTTTAGGGTAATATAAGATCGCAATAAAACAAGAAACTATTACAGGTGAAATGGTTATATCTTTAGTGCAAGTTCTACAACCAATTTAATAGATGACCCACCAATCCGACATCATTGTTGTGCTTTTCCAGCGCCTTCTTGCAATTGGCAAAGGTGTAGCCGGTCTTTTTCCTCAGTGCCGCCAGAGCACTCTTCTCCAGACCTCCAGTTCCTCCTGCACCGGCGTAGAGCTGCCGCGTGGAGTGCAACGCACGTGTGAAAATCCTTCCAAACAACATTTTCCCTAGCCGAAACTTTTAAACTAAAACTTAAGGTGTTTTTCTCGGGATGATTTATGTGGACTTGTTGATCTTTGCCTGCTGCCACGGGCAACGCTCCGGTGTTTATTTTTCCGACCTGTCGTTGGGTTTCCCAGTTGGTTGCCACGAAAATCAATTCATTCCAAACAACTGGAAACGTGTGAGATTTGCATTTGTTTTCAACTACTTCGTGTGTTCGGATCGAGCCAGTTAAATTAATCGCGTTGCGGCGCGAATTAATCCAAAAGGTGCGCGGTGCGTCGATAGGTGAACGACAGGTAAGTCGGTTGGTCAGTACTTTCTGATTTTGTGTACGGAGCGGCAATTAATTTAAGGGTACACGAAAATTTTGACAATTTTCCGGGTTGCACAATTCTATGAGTTAGGGATGGCAAAAAAGCCGGCATGTCGCGTGTAACGAACAGCTGTTTGCCGGCTATCGATAGTTGCGGGACTATCGTTTGCTAAATGTCACTTAGCAGGGACCACAACATCTTTACCGCTTACAACCGTTTCGGAACGGTAAGGTACTTTTAAAATTTGAATAAAGGTAAAAAAAAAACTAATTTTTAGACTAAATGTTTCTACCTTTAGATGCAAATAAAGAAACTAAGCAAAAAATTTCCAAAACATTTCCAAAGCAAATGGTATTCTGTTCACAAAATTGACATCACTTATATTCAACTGGGTTTTCTTTATAAAATTTTTTATATATTTCAAGTTTGTAATTGAGGCTCCCTTCGCATTTCAGGCTGCACCATGCAAGGCAGACAGAATCCGAATCGGGAGATCAGCATCCCAAGCTTCACGTCCATATGCGGTGCCCGCCGCCTGTGCGACAAGCAGAAGATGCTGTACACCCGACCCAAGCCGGATGTCCTGCAGAGCATCCTGCAGTCGAAGGCCAATCCCGAGTACAAATCCCGACGCCTGTGGTACGAACTGAACATGCCGGAGTGCGCCAGCTCCCTGCTGGATGGTAAAATGCAATCCGATCTGCCCGACAATATCCTGTGCCTCAAGACAAGGACTGGCCAAAAGCGCCAGAAGAAACGCGACACCGCGGTGGCCAAAGCGAATTATATGACGATGCGTTTGGAGCGAGAGCACTTCCGGCGCAAGCTGGTGGAGCTCATCCTGCACATGGACGACGATCAGGATCCGGAACTGGCCGCCCAGTGCGCCGTGCCCTTTCCCGATCAGGAGGAACGCGAGGTCCTGCGGTATTACTACTATATTAAACACGGAATTGACACTATTCACGTATCTCCATTGAGTAAGAAGATACTAAAAAGGTGAGCGATTTTATTTTGAAATTTGTATTGTCTTTAAAAGATGAAATATTTTTATAAACTGATTTATATTTACAGGATAACCGATCTTGTGCCGCCATTACTTTACAAATGGCAAACTGCCCTGAATGAAAATATAGCCGAAGTTCGTGCGGATTATGTTTTTGCCATGAAAAAAGCCGTTGTGGACTTCGTCCTGCGGCACACGGTCCTTGATCGACTGACCAAGGAAGGAGTGGGTGGGAAATTCGATACCGCAGAGCGAAGGGAAGTCCAATCAATGACCAACTTCTGGCGTTATCGGTAAGTTTTTATTGGCAATCAACACTTAATTATAAATATACCTAGCTTTTGTTGGGTTGCAAATATGAATTAGTTTACCTTACTTCATTTAGAAAATTAGGTTTGATTGCAATTTGCAAACCAACAAATTCTCCAATCAAAACTTTCCCTCAACCAAATTGAGTTTGGAGGGTATGCAACTAATAATGGCTGCCACTGAAATGTGTAAGCTTTCCTTTTTTTCATAAACTTTTAAACAATGCGTACGGGGGTAATATTAAAGTTAGAACCTCCCACATGTTTTACCATATGTGGGAGATTCAAATTTTTTAATTAAAATAAATTGTTGTGAAAAGGGCGGCAGGCGAAATAAAAAAAAGATGGCAAAGAAAAGTTGCCATAATTGAATGCGAGTGGGTTGTAACTTCTTCGTGCCCCGTGCCCCTTTTTTTTCGCATTTTGGGAAAAGCGTGCAATTGACATGCAATTACACCCAACCAAACACTCGAGCATCAAGGCTCACGCCCCCACATATGTTTACGGATGCCTCGGCTTTATTGTGGATTAAAAACCCAATCCGATTTTATTTTTTTTTTTTTTGCGAAATGAATTGCCCTTTGAGTCGACAGGGCGCGAAATCTTATGAAAATAACTTCCTCAAGCTTCAACCCGCTGACAAAGTTGCCTTGGCATTGGGGAGTAAAGAAAAGAGAAGGAAAAGAAAAGAAAAGCGTTAAGAAAATAAGGAAAATAACGAAAGTCGTGCGACATTATTAAAAGCTTCTTGCAATGGGGAGAACGCGAGAAATCGCTTTGCGGCGTGCCAAAAACTTTTTAACCGCACTTTCTCAACTACAATGCCAAGGAAATGGAAAAGTGGAAAATGCTGGAGCGGCGGCGGAAGCTGCAGAAAGTTAAGTCCTCCTGTGTATTGGTTTGACATTTGATGAGCAACAGCCAGCTGGAGACGAAGAAAATGCCGCCGCGGCCCAGAGATTCGCGCTCGACATAAATTGCAAAAAGGATATGCTTAAAAATGAATTGAACTTGTTTGTGACACCATTTGGGGGGCGGGGGATTTTTTTTGGAAAAGCCATAAGCCATCATCGCATTCTCCGGTTTATCAGTGCTGACTTTCTGTCTATTGTGAAAGTATCTGAAAACTTTCGCTATCCCTTTGTCTATTTTAAAAGCTGAACATTGGTTCACCATCTTCAGTAATGATTGATGGTTTTTTTATGGGAGATGATAAATAAGTTAAGTAGAGTTGGTAATTGTCTGAGAAGTAGGATATAAATGGGTTGTATTTACAGAAAATATATAGATTAAATCTTTGAACATGTTCATGCTATTTTTAGCTTTTCAGATAGCTTCATTTAAAGTGTAATACTTCACAAAAAAATAAGATTTTAACCTCCTTATATTTCTTAGAGGCTTTTTCAACCCCAACACCTTGTGTGGTTGATGTTGAACTTCTATTTAGTGGATTCTGGGTTCAAAGTAGGTCGAAGGCTTATCGATATCCACGTCCGCGTGAGGTTTGCTAATTTATTGCCTTCGAGCATTTGGCATCATTAAGGAGGGCCTTTTCGGATGCTTTTTGTGGTCGGGTGGTTGCCCGCTGGGTGTTCCATTGGTTTGGATGGTTGGTTGGTTGGTTGGATTGTTGGTTGGATGGTTGGGCGGTTGCGGTTCCCTGCACTGTTTAATGGGCTGTGACGGAATAGCTGGAGTGAAAAGTTTTCCCTTAGTCTCGAGATAATTTGCATAAAAAGACGCTACTAACTGCGGCCTCCGCCTTTGCCATCACCTCATCTCATCGCCGTTCCATCGAATCTATCCAACAGCTACGACGAGAATCGCAATGTCCTGATGAAAACGCTATTCTGCATACATCGGAGTGTGGCCAACATCCTGGAGCTGTGGAGCATGAAATACAAGGATAAGTCCTTCATCGACAGCAAGGAGCTGAGCAAATCCGAGACGCCGTTCGCATTGTTCTCGTTTGTGGTAAGATTTTCATGAAAATATGAAGGAAATTTATACCTACTTAATATAATAGTATGTGAAATTAAAATAAATTCCCGACAAAGGAGTTTCATATTCACTACTTATTATTAACACAGCTAATGGAATAAATTCAATTTCAACTGAAGTATTTATTATAAATTAAAATTTATTACAAATTCTTATTTGTATATTTTTATCTAATTCAATAATAATTTTTTTGGGCATATTTACTACCTCATATTAACACAGCTAATATAATAAATTAAATTTCAAAACAAATATTTATTATAAACTAAAATTTATTACAAATTTTTTTTTGGATATTTTTTTCTAACTCAATAATTATTATTTTTTTGGGCAGTATACATGTGGCTCCCACATCGACAGTGGAAAAACGATGCTGGAGGAGAGTTGGTATGGCGAGATTCACTCGTCGCTTCTAAAGGCCAGCAAACGTGGCCAATTGCCGGATATCCGGCGTTTTACATTGGTCAAGAGGTTTTTCAACTGCGTGGCCGCTTTGATGACCCAACAGCTGGAGGATATATGCATAAGGAGTTTGAAGGACTATGCCGATTTCATTTGCGATTATGGGGTATTTCATATTTAAAACGGATGTTAGGATATTAAATTAAACTAACTCATTTTGCAGCATTCAAATCCTGGCTTTGAAATATCTGTAATTCTGGCCGACGAGGATACGATTCAATTTAATCCAAGTTTTTCGAAGGTCCAAAGCGAACTACTTCGGGTTATAGATTCAATCTTACTGAGCATCCAAATGTTGCCTCGTATTGAGAGCAAACTCTACACCGATTTAGTTATATCCAAAAAGATATTCCTCACACCAACTGTTCCGGATAGCATTGTTCAGGAGACGAAGAATCGGATTTGTGCCATGTTGGAGGATCAGCGAATTGGACCCGAGTTGCGTTTGCAGGACTTTGATCCCTTTATTGATCTAATAAATGGAAGCGATGCGGAGCGAGTGGGCAACTTCATGGAGAGCGATGCAACCTTCGAACAATATGCTGAAATGGTTTACGAGTACAAGGAGAAGGAGGATCGCATCGCCAGGGAAGTGTGGGCCGTCATTCGAATGGGTTTCTACGAGTTCCACAGGGACAAGTTCATCACTCACCTGGAAAGTTTGTGCAGACAGTTGCAACTGGATTTGCTGGCCAGAATGGTCACCGATCAGCAGGCGAGGATCACTCGATTGGGCAAGGAATACGATGCTATAGCCAAGAAGGCTTTAACTGTGCCAAAGGATACAGCTGAGTTGATGCAACTGAAGGCTTATGTGGTTCATGCTGAGGAGAACTTGGTGCCAGAAATGGAAGCCAGACTGAAAGTGAACATGGGTGAAATCTTGTGGCTAATGGATCACACTTTGTACTCCCCATTGGAGATTAAAAACAACAGCAACTCCTTTCAGTGGTATTTGAAACTTCCTTCTATTTTCGAGCAACATCGCGCCATAATTGCCGAGAAGGTAATCGAATACCAGGAGCTGCTCAAGAAACGCATCGAATTATTCCGCCGAGAGTTGCAGAATTACTACGAACAAGTGCAAACCTACGATACTTGGGGAGATATCAAACAACTTTCGAGGTACAAAAAGCGAGCTGGAGTATTGGATCAACGTTTAGTTCAGGCAATGGAAACCATTGATCAAATAAACGAGGAGGAAACCTCCTACGGCTGGGATCTCTCACAATATCCAGTGCGAAAGAAGGCCCACGATCAACTGAAACCCTACAAAACGCTCTTCGACGCTGGTCAGGATTTCATGGACAAGTACGATCTGTGGATGCACTCGCAAGTGGGATCCTTCGATCCCGACGAGATCGATAGCGATGTGTCCAACTTCTATCGCATCATTCAAAAACTGGACAAACAGATGGGCGATCATCCCATGACAATGCAACTTATTCAGGATGTTAAGGCTCAAATTGAGGCATTCCGAGAACACATGCCTATTATCAATACTCTGGGCAATCCGGGAATGAAGGCTCGCCATTGGGAATTGGTTTCGGAGATAATTGGTTTCCCCATCAAGGTTTCACCGGAACTGACGCTGGAGAAGATTATCGAGTACCAACTGGACGAGTATGTGCCCAAATTCGAGGCAATTTCGGAGAGTGCCACCAAGGAGAACAATTTGGAGAGGGCGATGGCCAAGATGGTCAACGAATGGGAGGGCGTCGAGTTCTCCATTTCGCCCTACAGGTGAGTTGGTCCCATTTTGGTGATGAAAGGATGTTGTGTGTGGGCTGTAATTGAAATGTCTCCCGCAGGGATTCCGGTACATACAAGCTGGCTGCCGTGGACGACATCCAAATACTGTTGGACGATCAAATCATCAAGACGCAGACGATGAAGAGCTCACCCTACATCAAACCATTCGAGGCGGACATTCTGTAAGTGAATTGCAAAACAAACTTCTACTTTGATGTATTTTTAGACATTTTCAAAGTTCAAATAGGTTTTGTTTTGCCTTTTGCCGAATAGTACAAATAGTTTTTGTTTTCTGCGTAAATTCTATACCAATTATCTTGCAATCAATTTGTAATCATGTAGAGCAACAAGGACTCGCATTAGTCCGTCCAGTTGTTCACCTTTTTGTTGTTTGTTGGATGGCCGTCAATGTCGGAAGCAGACAGGTCACACACATGGCTAACCTTTGTTGTCCTTTTGCAGGAAGTGGGAGGCGAAGCTCATGCTGCTGCAGGAGATCCTGGACGAGTGGCTGCGCGTGCAGGCCACCTGGATGTACTTGGAGCCCATCTTCAGCAGTCCGGACATTCAGCAGCAGATGCCCGAGGAGGGGCGACGATTCAGTGCTGTGGACAAGGTGAGTTTTGCCTTGGAGAGAGTGCCTTTAATGTGGTACTTTAATCACTGGGAGTGATATTTAAATATAATTTGGATTTATTGCCACAAAATAAAACAAATATCTTTACTATTAATTGATACCTCGTAATGAAGTTCTTATTGCCTATTATTATAATAAAAGTCAGCAGTTAACACCATTTATTTTATTTATTTTTATAATAAAAGTGTTCCCCTGAATTTTCATTGTTAAAATCTTTGTTAAAATAAGAAAAATGATTTTTCTATCATAAAATCATTTACTAATAATTAATCATATGCCTTAACAGATATGGAAGGAACTAATGAAGCAGGTGGCCCAGGATCCCAAGGTGATGGTGGTGGTCCAAATCGACAAGATGAACGACAAGCTGAAGAAGGCCTACAGTTTGCTGGAGGTCATCCAGAAGGGTTTGAACGCCTATTTGGAGAAGAAGCGACTGTACTTCCCGCGATTCTTCTTCCTCTCGAACGACGAACTGCTGGAGATCCTCTCGGAAACGAAGGATCCCACCCGTGTCCAGATCCACTTGAAGAAGTGCTTCGAGGGCATCGCCACCTTGAATTTCACCGAGGAACTGGACGTGACCGCCATGCGATCGTCGGAGCGCGAGGAAGTGGTTCTAGTGGACGTGATCTCCACATCCAAGGCACGAGGTCAGGTGGAGAAGTGGCTGCTGGAACTGGAGATCGACATGAAGAAGAGCGTTCATCACAAAGTGGCCGAAGCCTTCTACAGCTACCACAAAATGTTGCGACATGTTTGGGTTTTATCTTGGCCAGGTCAAACTGTTCAGTCCATTTCGTTGACTTATTGGACTCTGGAGATCACCGAGTGCTTCGAAAGCGAGGAGCCCAAGGAGAACCTGGCCAAATATCTGCAAAAGTGCATCACGCAAATCAACAAGATTGTGGATTTGGTGCGCGGCGATCTAAATACACAAAATCGTATTACTTTGGGTGCATTGGTGGTGTTGGATGTTCATGCACGAGATGTCCTGGCGGAGATTGTGCAGAATCAAGTGGAGGATTTACAGGTGAGTCCTTAAATTAAATATAATTTTCCATGGAATTTATTTAATTTTATTATTATTTTGTAGGACTTCCAATGGCTCTGCCAGTTGCGCTACTATTGGGAGGAAAATAACCTGGATACGAGGATGATAAACTGCTCCTTGCCGTATGGCTATGAGTACTTGGGCAACACTCCTCGACTGGTGGTTACTCCTCTAACAGATCGTTGCTATCGCACCCTGTTTGCTGCTCTGAATCTTCATTTGGGCGGAGCTCCAGAAGGTCCTGCGGGAACTGGCAAAACGGAGACCACAAAGGATCTGGCGAAGGCTGTGGCCAAGCAGTGTGTGGTGTTCAATTGCTCGGATGGCTTGGACTATTTGGCTTTGGGTAAATTCTTCAAGGGATTGGCTTCGTGTGGTGCCTGGTCCTGTTTCGATGAGTTCAATCGTATTGATCTTGAGGTGCTATCCGTGGTGGCTCAGCAGATCCTGACTATCCAGAGAGGCATTAACTCGGGCAGTCCCACTCTGGTGTTCGAAGGAACCACTTTGACTTTGGATCCCACTTGCGCCGTTTTCATCACCATGAATCCCGGTTACGCTGGACGATCCGAGTTGCCTGATAATCTAAAGGTGAGTTTAAAGATTACCATAAATAATCCATATACTAAAAGAAAGATTTTCTAAATATAAATATACTTGAATAGACAGAAATAGTTATATTGGCACTTGATTATCTATTTCAGAAATTTGTTACCTTTTTAGAGTGATTGTAAAATATTTTTTTTTTAATATTTTTCTCATTTTTAGGCCCTCTTCCGATCGGTGGCCATGATGGTGCCGGATTATGCTCTAATCTCTGAAATCGAGTTGTACTCCTATGGTTTCCTGACTGCCAAACCGCTTTCCATTAAGATTGTGGCCACATATCGTTTGTGTTCAGAGCAATTGAGCACCCAATGCCACTATGATTATGGAATGAGAGCTGTAAAATCGGTGCTAAAGGCAGCTGGTGCGCTAAAACTTCGCTATCGTGATGAAAATGAGGATATTCTAGTGTTGCGCTCCATCAAGGATGTGAACTTGCCAAAGTTCCTCAACCAGGACATTCCCCTTTTCCAGGGCATCACCTCCGATCTGTTTCCTGGAACTGTTTTGCCCGAGGCTGACTATGATCTCTTCAATCGATGCACACAAATGGCTTGCGATAGACAAAATAAACAGTGCACTCCTTTTGTCCTGGAAAAAGTTCAGCAGGTAAGGGAGTTTATATAAGTAATCTATAGTATATATATTTCAAACTCTTTCTTTTGCAGCTTTATGAGATGATTGTGGTGCGACATGGTCTTATGTTGGTGGGTTATCCATTTGGTGGCAAGTCAACAACTTACCGCCTTTTGGCAGAAACCCTAGAGTGTATGGAAAAAACGGTGGGTTATGGATACCTTAATAGTTTTATAATTGTATTACATTTTCTTAATTATTAGGATGGTTCCGAGAACAAAGCCATTTACACAGTTATCAATCCAAAAGCCATTACCATGGGTCAATTATACGGACAATTTGATGCAGTTTCCCACGAATGGAGCGATGGAATCCTGGCTGTCAACTATCGCATCTTTGCCATTTCCGATTCTCCAGATCGTAAGTGGTTGATTTTCGATGGACCAGTGGATGCCATTTGGATTGAGAACATGAATACTGTCCTTGATGATAACAAGAAGTTGTGTTTGATGTCCGGCGAGATTATCCAATTGTCGAACACCACAAATTTGGTTTTCGAGCCCATGGATTTGGAGGTGGCTTCGCCAGCCACTGTATCGCGATGTGGAATGATCTATTTGGAGCCCAGTTCGTTGGGTTGGGAACCTTTGGTGGCCTCTTGGAAGAATACTCTTCCCCCAGCTTTCCACACAGTCAGCAAGCAACTTATATCGATGCTAATCTCACGATTTTGTCCTATTCTTCTGTACATTCTGAGGAAAAGTTTAAAGGAAATTGCACCCACTTCGGATGCAAACTTAATGGTCAGCTTGATGAACTTCTTCGAGTGTTTCATTGACGACTTTCGGGATGAAAAGTACGTGGCCAATGTCTCGGATTTGGATTTCAGAGCTCAGACAGAGGGAATATTCCTGTTCTCTTGCATTTGGTCGCTTGGAGGAGCTCTAGATGCAGATAGCAGGGAAAAGTTCAATATAATATTCAGAGCTCTGATGGAAAAGACATTCCCACAAAGTTTGTACGATACATATGGAGTCACTGAGGATCTTTATGTGGAAACCCTGCCCAAACCATTTATATTCCCGATACCCAAACAAGGATCGGTGTTTGATTATCGGTACATAAAGGAGGGAAAGGGCAAATGGAAGCCCTGGCAGGATGATGTGAATTCCGCTCCACCGATTCCTCGAGATATTCCCGTCAATCAGATCATTATACAAACCAACGAAAGTGTTCGCATTGCAGCTGTTTTGGATCTGCTGAATCGCCATGGAAAACCCATTATGTTATGTGGACCCACAGGAACGGGAAAAAGTGTCTATGTGATCGATTATATGCTAAAGAAAATGGATCTAACCGTCTATAAACCTCTGCTGATCAGCTTTTCCGCTCAGACATCCGCCAATCAAACGCAGGATATCATAATGTCCAAGTTGGATAAGCGGAGGAAAGGAGTTTTTGGTCCACCTCTCAACAGTCGATTTGTGATCTTTGTGGATGATGTTTCTATGCCTCTAAAAGAGAACTATGGAGCCCAACCTCCTATTGAATTACTGCGAATGATGCTCGACCACATGATGTGGTACGATCGGAAAAACATTGTACCCATGAAGCTAATCGATTTGCAGATGATTGTGGCCATGGGACCTCCCTCAACTGGAAATACAGTGACTCCCCGTTTCCAGCGATTTTTCAACGTAATATCCATAGATGATTTCAACAACGATATATTGAATACCATATTTAGTAAGATTGTGCTGTGGCATTTGGATACGAGGTAAGAAAGGGATTGGTTTGGTTATTATTTAAAAACTTAATAAATCCAAAACTAATCCTTAAATCTAGCTTCGGTTTACCGAAGATAACCCTTTTTTAAATCAGTATATAATACCTTATTCCCAATCAAAACCAACCAGGGGCTTTTCCAAGGAGTTTGATCCTTGCATTGACGAAATCGTGGGCGCCACAATGACCATTTACAATGACGCCAAACTGAATTTGCTCCCCACGCCGGCAAAGTCGCATTATCTGTTCAATCTGCGCGACTTTTCCAGGGTGATACAGGGTGTCCTGCTGTCCGTTCCCGAGGCCACCGAGGACGTAAACTCGATGCGTCGCCTTTGGGTGCACGAGGTGTTGCGTGTGTACGGGGATCGCTTAGTGGAGGATGCCGATCGCACCTGGCTGTTCGAGAACATTTGCAGCACGGTCAAGGCGTCCTTCAACACGGATCCCACGCGGCTGTTCGGTCGGTTTGTCGAGAAGGATAAAACGCTGCAGGAGTCCGATTTCAGGCAGTTGATCTACTGCGATTTCACAAATCCCAAGGCGGACACGAAGAACTATGTGGAGGTGCAGGATTTGGAGGAGTTGCGACGGGTGGTGGAGGCCTATTTGGTGGAGTACAACAACATGTCGAAGAAGCCCATGAATCTGGTGCTTTTCCGCTTCGCCATCGAGCATTTGTCGCGCATATGCCGCATCATAAAGCAGCCGAGGAGTCATGCTCTGCTCATCGGGGTCGGCGGATCCGGGCGCCAGAGCTTAACTCGATTGGCTTCGCATATATGCGACTATGAGCTGTTCCAGGTGGAAATCACGCGATTGTATGGGCCGTACGAGTATCACGAGGACATCAAGGCGATCCTACGCAAAATTGGGGCATCCGAGATGCACGGCGTGTTCCTCTTTACGGACGTTCAGGTGGGGATTCGCAATTGGCAATCGGACTGTGTCCTGGGTCCTTTTCCTTGGTCTCGCTAACTCTTCTAGACTCTTGCAGATCAAGGACGAGTCCTTCCTCGAGGACATCAGCAACCTGCTCAACTCCGGCGAGGTTCCGAATCTGTTTACCAACGAGGAGAAGATCGAGGTGCAGGAGAAGATGGCCCAGATCGACAAGCAGAGGGACAAGGCCGTCCAAACCGACGGAAGTCCTGTGGCCCTCTTCAACTTTTTTGTCACGGTGGGGTCACCTAAAAAATTTTTAAATGTTCATCTGATTTATTAGATTACTCACAAAGTCGCAAGAATTTAGTTCAAGCCTTTGGTTGATCATCGAAATGTTCCATTTTTAAGTAACAGATTTCTAATCTAAAAACTTTTAGGATTTTTAACAAACTTTAACATGAATTTACCCTCTTAATCTATTAATATTTCCCACCACAGACCTGCAAAGATCAGTTGCATATTGTTTTGGCAATGTCGCCAATTGGCGATGCTCTGCGCAATCGCATCCGTAAATTCCCCTCGATTGTCAATTGTTGCACCATTGATTGGTTCCAATCTTGGCCAGAGGATGCTCTTTTAGCCGTGTCCACTCGTTTCCTGGCCAGCGAGGATCTCACTGCTTTGGAGCGTCGCACTGCCATCGATATGTGCATGGATTTTCACACCTCCACTCAAGAACTTTCGGCCAAGTTCTTCTCCAGATTGCATAGGTACAATTATGTGACACCCACTTCTTACCTGGAGTTGATCCAAACCTTTAAGGCGCTGCTGAGTCAAAAGAGAAAGTAAGTTGTTAATCCTTCGAAAAAGAAAATATGTAAGTAATAATATATATATTTTGTTACCTCTTTCAGCAACATTACAAATAATCGCAATCGCTATTTGACTGGAATTTCCCAACTGGACATTGCTGCCCAGCAAGTGGCTGTAATGCAGGAACAACTGATTGCCTTGGAGCCCAAATTAAAGGAAGCCTCGGAAATTGTGGCTGAGCAAGTGGCCAAGGTGACGGCTGATAGCAAACTGGCTGAGGAGCAGCGAGAGATCGTCAAACTGGACGAAAGTGCGGCCAAGGAACAGGCTGCTGTTGCCCAGGAAATCAAGGATGAATGCGATGCCAAACTGGGAGAGGCTCTTCCCATTTTGGAATCTGCCTTGGCAGCTCTGAATACTCTTACCACAGCGGACATAGCGGTGGTTAAGACCATGAAGAGTCCTCCAATTGGCGTGAGGATCGTCATGGAGGCAGTTTGCATCCTAAAAGATGTTAAACCCGATAAGGTTCCAAATCCAAGTGGCTTGGGTACTGTGGAGGATTATTGGGGTCCCTCGAAGCGTGTGCTTAGTGACATGAAGTTCCTGGACAGCCTGCTCAACTTCGACAAGGATAACATTCCCGTCGAGGTGATGAAGAAGTTGGCACAACGCATTCTCAGCAACGAGGCCTTTGATCCTGATAAAATTAAGAGTGCTTCGACGGCTTGCGAAGGTTTGTGCCGTTGGGTTATTGCTCTGACCAAATACGATGTGGTGGCCAAGATTGTGGCGCCCAAAAAGTTGGCTCTGGCCGAAGCTGAAGCCACATACAATGCGGCTATGAAAACTTTGAACGAAAAGCTGGCCATGTTGGCCAAAGTGGAGGCGAACTTGGCTGCCATTCAAAAGATTCTCGATGAGCAGTTAAGGCAATATGGGTGAGTCTGCTAGAGAAGTTTTATATAACAAAGTATTAGATCCCTAATTAATGATCTTTGTTCTTTATAGTATTTTACTGGCTGAACACGAGGCTTGTACCAAAAAACTACAGCGTGCTCAGGAATTAATTTCTGGTTTGGGCGGCGAGCGAACTCGTTGGTCAGAAACGGCCAAAATGCTTCAGGCCAGCTTTAAAAGTGTAACTGGTGACGTGCTGATCTCATCGGGAGTGGTTTCCTATTTGGGACCCTTCACCATCGACTTTAGACTAGATCAGATTCGCAAATGGGTAACCAAGTGCCTCAACTTTGGTGTAACCTGCACACCCGATTTTCAACTTGCTGTTGTTCTTGGGGAACCAGTGGAAATTCGATTCTGGAATATTTGCGGCCTGCCAACGGATGCTTTCTCTGTGGAAAGTGCCATTATGATGAAGTGAGTAATACATTTTTATGACTAATTTATTTGTTGGAGGTTTTACATATCTTAAAGAATTTGTGTTATTTATTTTATAATTAATGACAGCTTCATTTGAATTGATTTGAATTACCTAACAGAAAATAATGTGCTATATAAGTATTTTACATATTATTATTTAACAAACTTAATGATTATGGTTTCATCTTTCACTGAAATATTTTGAAACATAAGACTGCATGATATTGTATTGCAAATGCACAAATTCAATTTTATCCGCGTGGCTCCCTTAACCACAAGTTATGACAACAGCTGGCACTGCCCCTCGGAAAATCCCCCGTGGTGATCGCTAAGCCAGCTCGCATCAATTAAACAACCTGACACGGTAATTAAGGGTCCTGCCTTGCCTGTCAGCGGCACGAAATTTCCCCAAATCCACGGCTTCTGTATGTGTGTGTGTGCGTTTCTTCGTTTTCTAATTACAAAACATAAAACGTTAGAATTCACGCGTATTAGGAAAATTAAAGATACGCCTCGTGCTGAAGCGGGTGGAAAGTGGAAAAGTGAGGGAGAGTGTGGGAAAAACACCGGATGCTGCACGGCACCGCGAACTGGAACTGAATTTGGAAGGGGACTTCAACGGGGGAACGGGAAGCGGCGAATGGTGAATGAAAACAGTAGCTGGGGGTAGGTGTTTGGGCGGAAAGGGGGTGGGGATGGGAAGGGGGGGAGGGGGGAGGGATGCATGGGCGCATTAAGCAGCGTACCCGCATGTGGCCGAAAGGACTCGTTGCCAGGACACGCCATCTCGCTCGGTGGTGGCTGCTGTGCCCGCCAAAGGTACAAAGGGCACAATAAATCGAGATGGGTGCACAGTGGAAAAAATTATAGATCTAAAGCTAGATAAGAAAGAAGGGTTCTATAAGATAATTTTTATGGTTTTTTTTTTTTTATTAAAATATATGAATAATGTTTTGGTATATGGATTCATACTTTGGTAAATAACATAACAACATTACATACTTCAATATAATATTTATGGGTCCTTTTTAACTTAAATATTTAATTATGTTATATGGATAATTTCTTACATATTATGTTGATTTAATTTTGATGGCAATAAATCATAAACAGTTAAATTTATGAAAAGGTAAATTTCATTGTAAAGAGCGAATGACAGAGACAATAACTATTTAACCATTTCAATAATACATACTAAAATTTGTTAGTGAAATAGTCCAAAATATTTCAAAGTTGTTAATGCTTGAAATGCACTTTTTAGTTCTTTTGTTGCCTTTTTATAAATAATCCTAAAAAGTGTAATGATTTATGGGCTTTTAAATGCGAGAAAATAATTCTTTGATTTATGGCCTGGTCGTTTTTGCCAAACCCACAATTTTTTGTAATTTCAGAATATATATTTTGTATTGGTTTATACAATTTATAAACCTATTTCCCTCTGTGTGAAGGGCCGTGTTAGGTGTAGTAAGGAGGGAGGCTGGCAGGCAGTGTTTTCATGTTTGATGCGTGTATTACGCATCTGGTGGGTTTCTCGGAGGTCAGAGGACCGGGAGGCCACATGCCACTCCACGACGCTCGACGGCACTCGCAAGTCGATTTAATAAAGGAAATTCCTGGCTGCTTTCCACGAAAGTGTTCAAAGTAATTTGGAGCATGCCCGAAAATACCTGAGGGGCCGCCGGGTCTTCGAAAAAGGGAGGAAAATGCGGGCAGGACAACTCCAGGATGCTGTGTCCTGTATAAGCAATTGATTAATGTGCGCCCATAGCGGATTAGGTTTAATTTTTACCCAACTTACAGGGGTAGCTGCGAACGCGATAGCAAACATCGATTGCATATCCTTGGGGATTTACCCTCTAGTTTCGGGCCTTTCTCTATCCTGTCTATATAGACGAATTTGTATTTGTTCTTGGCAAATATCCGGAAAGCCAGCAGGGTGGCTGGAATGTTGTCCTCACTATTAACATTCATTTGCTTAATATTTCGGTTGACACGTAGCACATATGGTGACCTCGTCGGTCCTGCAACCTTGTCTTCCTTGGCATCGTAAAAAGCTATGGCTGTATATTGGGGGTATCAGGTGCGGTTGTTTTCCGCTTCAGGTTTTTAGGGCGTTGTGTAATTTGAGGCGCATGTCTTTGATTAAATAATGTTAATTTGAAAAAGGCAAAAACAATTTGTAAATGTCGGTTTGACTCGTCCTCGGCGTTTAAATATAAGGCTTTGACAAGGTTATAGGGTACATGAGGTTTTTCATTGATATAAAGTCGAGTCCCGATTATTCATACCCCGCTCATTCTCAAAATTTCCAAATTTTCAAAAAATTAATTTGCTAAATTCTAAGTCCATAACTTGTCTAATTTTAATCCGATTTTGAAGTGGCATACCTCTAAAAGTTTGTATTTTAATTCTCTAACAAACTGCATCATTAGTTAATTTTTTATTTTGATCCGATTCAAACGCGGCATAACTCTAAAAGTTGGTTGCCCGAAAAACTGCATTTAGTATATGTTAAAGATTTTTTCAATTTTTATTTCGGTAAGTCAAAGTCCTAAAAAATGTGATTTCCATGCCATTACGAAATGTTCGAGGTCGAGTGTATATTTTTTATAATTAGTTATATGTAATGTATGTATATAGAGTACTTTACTTTAGTTGGTCAAAAGTTTTTATTGGTGCTAAAATTCTTCCTAATCGCCTTACTATAACTCCTCCCTTTATATTAAACCAATCTCGCTGAAATGTATACAAAACAAAACAATCAAAACAATTCTGTGCGAATAGTTGGTTGTTAAAAGAATTGTCATCTTTTTTTTGTTGTTTTTAAAAGTAAATCCCCAAACTCCATTCAACAGATTCTCAACCGGCTTACAATGCAAGTTGCATCGCATTTTTAACTGTATTCTAACTATTTGCCGGGGAAATTTCGCTTTTATTTTGTGACAAAAAGTTGCATCCTCTCCAATCCCAGCTCTTCATCCTTTCCTGGCGACGAGCTCTGAACTTTAACCGGTTTCCACATGGCAACAGAGGACTCCCGGAGACCCCTGCTCCCAATGGGACGCCATTGTACTCCGTATCCTGGCAAATCGCATATGGGATTTTCGGTTGGAATTCGTTGTTTAAAAATTGTTGGGGCTCTTATTTCATTTTTCGGCTTTTTTTTTTGGATTTTTGGATATGTGCCGGCTGTGGCGACTGCGACGACGAAGGCATATTGCTCTTTTGTTTTTCCATCAAATATTTTTCATTCATCAAGTTTTCAATTTACAAAAATGTTCATTCATTCGCACGAGCAATTTGTATTCGGTGTGAATTTGTCATGTGTTGGCTGCTCCTGCTGCAACTTATTGTTGCTTTTCGCCGCTTTCTCTATTTATTTTTTTTTGTCACTCCCAATCCTCCTGTCCCCGATTTCCACTCCCACTTATTTTTCCACGCTGGCTGTGAGTTATCGCATCAGCCATGTGTAGTATATATAGTGCCTGACACACACCCAACAACCGCAATCGAAGTATTCACACATATGTATATATAAATGTGCGCTTAAATATATTTATACAGCAAATCAGGGGCTTGGTCCTCGGGGCAGTGATTTTAAGGGGGTGGCAATTGTCCTAAATAAGTTTTCTATAAAACATACCTTATATAACAAAAACATAGATAATCAACTTAAATATTCTATATTTTTTGGAATATTTAATATTACGAACAACATAAGCTAACAAAGTTGTATACTAACCGCTAAGAAAAGTTTAATGGAGCATTTTTTTTCTTTTATTTGTATAATATATATTTTAATATTTAAAAAAAAAACCTTTTTTTCTGGGACCCTGTTAAAAGTCCTTTTGTAATATAGTTCTGTTTGTGGCTTAACGTTTGCATGATGTATTGGCGTATTTGAAGCCAGGGCTTTTGCCCCCATTCCAAACCCACAAAACACACTCACTGCGAATACATTCAAATAATGCGAACAGAAAATATATTTCTATAGCATTATTTACGCTTATGAATTATTGACGTAAATATTGAATGTGTGTTTATGCGGTATTTTCTTTTTTAATATTCCAACTTCAACTAAGTGATGAGCTCGTTGCGGTGGCCCCATTGTTGTTCCCTGTTGACAAATTGCTCGCATTTGTTATATCGCTTAAAGTACAAATGTTTGGCGAGGATATTTAAATGGTTGCTTGTTGCTTCGCAGAAATGCTCGTCGTTGGCCTTTAATGATTGACCCACAAGGACAGGCCAATAAATGGATCAAAAACTATGAGAAAAACAACAAACTCTGCGTAATCCGGCTCAATCAGGCTGATTACACTCGTGTCATGGAGAATGCCATCCAATTTGGTTTGCCCGTGCTGCTGGAAAATATTGGCGAGGAATTGGATCCCGTTTTGGAGTCGGTGCTTCAGAAAACGCTTTTCAAACAGGGCGGAGCTCTTTGCATTAAATTGGGCGACTCTGTGATTGAGTATAATCATAATTTCAGGTCGGTGAATAATTCACTTTACATCTGTATTCAGAATAAAATGGTATTAAAAATATTACAGATTCTATATGACAACCAAGCTGCGAAATCCTCATTATCTCCCAGAGGTTGCTGTTAAGGTAACCCTTCTTAATTTCATGATTACCACTCAAGGACTCCAGGATCAATTGTTGGGCATAACGGTGGCCAGAGAACGTCCTGATTTGGAGGCGGAGAAGAACAATCTAATTGTCCAGGGTGCTGACAATAAACGGATGCTAAAGGAGACCGAAGATCAGATTCTGGAAGTGCTCTCATCAGCTGAAAATATTCTAGAGGATGAGACGGCCGTTCAGATATTGAGTTCAGCGAAGGCTTTAGCTAATGATATTAGTGAGAAGCAGGTAATCACCGAGGCCACAGAAAAGCAGATAGACATAGCCCGATTGAGTTATGTGCCGATAGCTGAACATTCAACTATTTTGTTCTTTACTATAGGTAAGAAAAACTTTTAACTTGAAGGAATATTAATATGAAGTTTTGCATTTAGTTTCTGAATATTTATTAATAAATTATTATTTTAATTGCCTTACAGTGGAGCTGGCCAACATCGATCCCATGTACCAGTACAGTCTGGCTTGGTTTGTCAACCTGTACATGTCGTCCATCGATAATACGGAAAAGGTGGACGACATTGCGGCACGTTTGCTGGATCTGAAGAATCACTTCACCTACAGCCTGTATGTCAACATCTGTCGCAGTCTCTTCGAGCGTGTGAGTGCCCATTGGATAAACCCAATTATCATCAAACGCCGGTCTATCCTGTCCGCTTGTCCATCCGCTGGCCAAGTATCCGCTGTCCAAGTATCCTGGACCTTTAGCCTCGTTAGTCCCGTAATTGCGCATAATCTGATAATGTGACATTTGAAGCGTGGTCCTTTGCGTTTCATTTGCTATGTGGCTGAGCATCGTGCTCAGCTTGACTTGACTTGACTTGACTGATTTTAAATAATATTTAACACTCCGCCACAAGTATGTGCACAGTACTTCGAGGCCACTTCAACAGACAATGAAGTTAAAGCTGTTGCAGCAACTGAAAACTGAGTGGTTACAGTGGCAAACAAAAATTCATAATAATCAGTAATATTTGTATATATCAATTAACAAAATAATTTTTTAAACTTTCATTTAAATTCTAGGAAATATAATAGTTTTTAGGGTACGGATATCCACTATTCTTTTCTTTTTAGCGTATTTTTTAAATTTAATTTCCTTAGTACAGTGTAATTGTTTATTCTTTTGTATCCACTGTGCATCTGCTCGAATAATGTTATTACATTGCCGGTGCAATCAAAGGATGTACATAGCCAAAGGAAGCCTGGGCAAAAAGGAAATCATAAACCAAACAAGTTCTAGCCAGCTTTATGCTGTTTTCAGTCAATTATGCCCTGGCCTTTCTCTGTCCCCTGAACTTTGGCCCCTGTGGCGACCCTGCCATCAGCTAACCTTTGATCCCCAGCTTTTAATTTTCTTGTGCAGCAAAAAAAAAAAAACGAAGTGAATTGCTATCAGAAAAGCAGCATCGCCGTTTGGTCTGGGAAGTGCTTTGATTTCGATGGGCAGCAAACCTTTCCCTGTAACCCATTTAATGCGAGAGTGAGCCTCTAAACTCTAACCCGGAATGAACCCAATCGCATCACATCACATCAAGTCCCTTACTTATTTATACACTTAAAGAAACTACTACTAAAAAGAATACCTATTTGTATATACAAGCATTTAATTTGCAATTTGTTATTTCATAACTTTTTTCGCTATTATTACTTTTTTGAATTTTATAATTTGGAATTGAAACCCCAAAAAATCTCTTTCATAAATTATATTTGATACTATTTAATCGAAGTGTAATGAAATGTTCTGACCCTTTGAACAGGATAAGCTGCTGTTTTCCCTCATATTGAATATCAACATGATGAAGCACGACAATCGGATTGACAATGCCGAATGGATGTTCCTGCTGACTGGAGGCGTTGGTCTGGAGAATCCTTTCAAGAATCCCACCAACTGGCTGGGCGTCCAAAATTGGGATGAGGTCTGTCGCCTGACTAATTTGCCCAATTTCAAGGGATTGCGCGAGGACATCACCGACAATGCGGCGCAGTGGAAGCCCTTCTTTGACTCAAAGTCACCGCAGGACAACAAGGACATACCGAAAACCTGGGACAAGCGAATGAGTGTTTTCCAGAAACTTTTGCTACTCCGCGTCTTCCGGCCGGATAAATTGGTTCCGGCTGTGTTGAATTTTGTGAGCCTAGAGTTGGGTGAACGATTCGTGGATCCACCGCAGTTCGATTTGATGGCCTCCTTCGCCGACTCACACTGCTGTGTTCCTTTGATATTTATCCTGACTCCTGGTTCGGATCCAACGGCAACGCTTTTGAAATTCGCCGAGGATCAGGGCTTTGGCACCAATCGATTGTTCTCGCTGTCCTTGGGCCAAGGTCAAGGACCGATTGCCATGAAAATGATCGACGAAGGCGTCAAAATGGGTAACTGGGTGGTGCTCCAGAATTGCCATTTGGCAGCCAGTTTTATGCCTCTGCTGGAGAAGATTTGTGAGAATCTCCTGCCGGATGCTACACATCCTGATTTTAGATTGTGGCTTACTTCTTATCCCGCGGATCATTTCCCAGTGGTGGTTCTGCAGAATGGCATCAAGATGACCAATGAACCGCCGAAGGGATTGCGATCCAACATTCTGCGATCGATGATCAGCGATCCGATCAGTGATCCCGAGTGGTATGAATCCTGCACTCAGCCAAGGATCTTCAAGCAGCTGATCTACTCGCTGTGCTTCTTCCATGCGGTTATTCAGGAGCGGCGATACTTCGGTCCGATCGGTTGGAATATACCCTACGAATTTAACGAAACCGATCTCAGGATATCCCTGATGCAGTTGAGGATGTTCCTCAATCAATACGAGACGGTTAACTACGATGCATTGCGGTATCTTACGGGTGAGTGCAATTACGGCGGAAGAGTTACAGATGACTGGGATCGTCGCACGTTGAAAACCATTTTGGATAAGTACTATTGCCCAGCGGTTATCGATCTGGAGAAGCCATACTACCTCGATGAGACTGGTTTGTATTACATTCCGGTTTTCAAAGAGGTGGATTTGTATCTGAACTTCACGCGAGAGCTGCCGCAAATCTCAGCGCCAGCCATCTTTGGCTTCCATGCCAATGCGGATATCATGAAGGATCAAAAGGAAACGGACATGTTGCTTTCTCACACTTTGCTCACTCAGGTGAGTTTTTTCATAGGATAATATAATAGTAGCTTTGGTAGCTTGTATCCATATTGTTAACAACATTGCTTAATAATGTTGCTTCTTTTTTGCTTGCTTTTCCATAAAAGGAACGTTGGGTAAGAGTTTTTAGTCTACTTTTTATACAAAGACACTCAACATTTTAAACTTTTTTACTGTTTGATTGAAACACTACAAATAGGACCTTTATGATCGACGCGTAAGTTTCGGATAAATAACTCTTTAACTTTTTCTACAGCTATTTAATAACGTTTTTTATTGTAAACACGCTGCGCTTTAGAAATTGGTGAAACAACAAAGGGTTTATGTAGAAACGCTTAGTAGACGCTTCCCCGAAAACCTTTCCCTACCCACTTATCCTACCTGTCCTCCCTTCCTTGCCCTCTATCAATTGCCCCTGAAGGATACGAGTGCCTCCTCCGATGACAGTGGTGGCTCAAAAGCACTGACTCCCGAGGAGGTTGTCACCAATGTGGCCACCGATATCCTGGATAAGTTGCCCAAACTATTTGATCGGGATGCAGCTCTGCTGAAGTATCCTACTTTGTATCATCAAAGCATGAACACGGTTTTGGTTCAGGAAATGGTGCGATTTAATGTCCTGTTGAATACGATTCGAACCAGCCTCATTACGCTGCGAAAAGGAATCAAGGGTGAGTAATCTTAAAAAATTTATTCACGATTGAATATTTGTATTTTTACAGTCACTTTAATACCAATATAATTATTCAGTGTCAAGGCCTTTATTTGAGTCTTGTAAAGTATTAGTGGGCAAATTATCATCACTGGTTCGAGTTGGGATAACTGCATCCAGGGGATTGTTGAAGTGGGAGCCCAAGGAACCGAAGTGCCTTTTATTCTCGATTTGCAGATCATCTAGGGAATCGCTTCCTGCATTGTTAATGGGTTCCGCCTTGTCACTGAATCTAGGTTTCAGATCACTTTGATTTGAAAACGACGAAGGTCTTGAAGGTTTAGCATCTTCAACAACTTCTTCAAGAACAGCTTCGATTTCGGGTTCCATTTTGGGTTCTAATTTGGGTTCTATTTCGGGTTCTAATTTGGGTTCTATTTCGGTTTCTAATTTGGATTCTATTTCGGGTTCTAATTCGGGTTCTAGTTTGAGTTTTTGTTTGAGTTCTAGTTCGGGTTCTATTTCGGGTTCTAGTTTGTCTTCGTCTTTTATTTCGTCTTTAAGTTTGAGCTCTTTTTCGTCTTCCTGAATAGTTTGAACTTCTAATTCCACTTCCAACGCACTCGAATCAATGGGTTTCAAATCCTCTGGAGTTGAGTCAATATCGGCTCTCAACTCCTTGGGAGTTGAGACCATGGGTTCCGTTTGCATAGGAGTTGAACCCCCATGTTTCAATTTATTTTGACTTGAATAAGCAGAGACGAGTTCGTCTTCAATATTAAACGATTTCATTTCTGTTAAATTCATTCTTGACATGGTTGGCGCCTCCAATCGGTGAAATGATACTTTTGGACTATCAGGTCGGTTGACCTCGACTGATTTAATTTCTGTATCAATTTTATTTTCCCCAAGCTCCTCAACTAATGCTTCCTCCGCTAATTCCAAATTTTCATCATCGTATTCCTTAAATTCCTCAGTGGGAGCATTTCTTTCATTACCATGGGGCAGCACTACTCTATAGCCTCTACCTTTTAAATCATTCAAGTCGAAGACTTGTGAAACATCTAAGATGCTTTTAAGACTGAAAATTTCACTTTGCGCAGCTTCAAGAGGCTCAACTGTATCAAACATTTGGGATCTTATGAACTCATCGCTATCGGACGCGTCATCTGGTGCAGCATTATCGAGGTTTATCAATGGACTTGTGACGTTGTCACTTTTCATTTTTCTCACCAAGGACATCGTCTGTTTTTTCATTAAATTCGATCCTGAAAGAGAGGGTATTTTTATGGAGCTGACATCTTCCATTTCTCGAATGTTGTCCGACAAATGAATGCTATTGTGAGAAACGGTCGTATGAAGACAAACTAAATCTTTTGGTTGAACGGGGGAGGGTTTTCCATGTTCAACAAAATCTGTGCAAATATGTCGGAAAATAGATCGTTGTAGTTTTCGATTACGATGCGTTCGTTTTCCTCCAGCCAACGTCTTCCCGGAACTGCCTGTCGAATGAGTTTTCTTATGATGGCTTGAGCTTCACACCACGAAGCCTTTTGTGGGATTTCACTTTCACTATCCGTGGACATTAGATACAGATCATTATCAATAAGGCGATCAATGAGATCGCTTGTTAGTGTGCTTGCTATATCAAATGGATCCAGTTCCATCCAAACTTTTGGAAATATAATGTCCTCCACTATGTACTCCGCTATCAGATTCTTTTCATGTTGCTGGAGAACTTCTTCCATATTGGGAGAGACCATATCTTTGAGCATCAGTCGCAGAGGAACGTAAGTGAGGGGATTCTGGATTTCCTTGAAACTCTCTAACCATCTCTCGATATCCTCATCGATTTTCTTGGCCAGTGTAACAACTGAATCTTGTGCCTCGTCCTCGGCGACATTGTACATATCTGAGCTCAAAATGTTGGCAATGTACTTATTGGAGATCTCATTGTTGACGACATTGCAATGCTGGAACAACTCCTCGTACATCATACGCAAATCGTTCTCCTTTTGCCTTAAACCAGCCTCAGCTGCCTCCCTTCTCCATCTCTCCTTCTGGGCCAAGATCGTGAAGAAGTGCAGTCTACGCAATTCGGAGAGACGAACCATCTCCTCCGAGAGGAACTGCATCACCCATCCAATGTAGGTGCCCTCGTAAATGTTCAACATATGCTCCATGTCCTCGCGCTTTCTATCGTTATTGATCGTTGTCAATACGGTTTCAGAATTTCGGATTCTTTCCCTCTCAATAAAGGAGGCGAACTCTTCAATACGATCCCTTTTCTTCACAAAAGATTTATACTCTGATCGTATTTCGTAGAGATTGGTTAAGTAATGCAGAGTCATATGAGATCCTGCCCTTTCTGCAACGTGCTTTCTTCGCTTTCTCAGACATTTCGGCTCTTCTTTTTCCCTGGCCGCCTGAGTTCTGAGACCTCTTAGGCTTTCGAAGAGCTTTTGCAAATTGTCTTCCTTGGTGAAGTTTCTTTCGTATTCTTGATCGTATTGCTTGGGCTTTGACCAGTCTTTCAGCTTTCTGAATGGACATTTTAGGTTACCAATAGTGACTCGCTTCTCCAGTTCATCGATCCTCATGTCGAATGCCTGTTGTTGAGTTTGTGATACGAAGTTTCGACGAGACGGATTCACACCGTATCTCATGAGTGGAGCATAGAATTCGGAGCACGGCGATCCCAATTCCATGGGACTCTGTTTTACCCATTTCCTTGGGGTATTCGCGACCTGGATCTCCAAACGACGCATTCCCCGCTTGAATTCTATATCGTTTTTTCGCAATCCCGCCTTTCGGCGCTCTTCGATTCGCTCGCAGGCCTTTTCAATTCGCGACTTTGATGCGGCATGCATCTCCTTCTCCCTTTTGTCAAACATTTTTATGACGATCTCGAGTCGCATCATCTGGCACTCCTGGATGTCCTCCTCCCGCTGAATCCACTGCTCCCATTCGAAGGCTTCCAAAACATGCTTGTACTTGGTTTTAAAGGTCACTGCTCTGGCTTCATGAAGTAGTCTTTGAAAATGTTTTTTCAGGGCATCGCTAAAAGCCCAACGTTTTCTAGCCCGCTCTAAAACCTCGACCTCATGAAGTCCAGGTTTATTTGCTTCAGGCAACACAGATGGCAGGGAAAAAAGCTCGAATGTATTTTCTTTGTTTTCAAGTAAAACTTCTGGCAAATAACTTAAAGTCTGAGCAGAAGATTCCCTGGAAAAAATTTTAAGATAAAGACTTTGCTCTTTAAAATGTATTTCTTTCGTTTACCTGTAAAGCGTCTGAGTGACTTGATCCTTAAAAGGTCGCCGGTCTTCATATTTAGGAAAGAAATCGCACTTATGCTTCAGTTCCTTTTTCATTACTACTCTGGGACTTAACTTGCATTCATGGGTATTAACAGTCGTATCCTGTTCGGTGAGAAAATAAAATCCTGGGGCCTTAAACTGACATTCACTATCCGTGCGAGGCAATATTCCGACATTTCGCTTTGCTGGATCATTTTCACCTATAAATAAATTGATTTAAAATCAATCAATCAGTTATTTTCAGAGAAAACTGATGGAATTTGTAGGGATATATACCTCCACCCATCCTTAGATCAGGCAAGCTGGTAATCAAACATGATGATAGGTCGTTTTCAGTCTGCTCTTTAGTTTTCCTAGAACATTTTTCCTGTTTTGTATGTCTGCCGAACTTGACATGTTTAATTTTATCCTGTCCTTTATGGGATTTAACTAAGGTTGAACTACTTCCAGGTTTGCTTAATTTGTCTTGATTTACTTTATTTACTAATTGCGTACTATGTATTGGCATTATAAAAGTTCTATAGTTTTATGGTTTTTGATTTGTTCTATTTTTTTTATTAGTTTCGATTGTAGTATGGTGTGTGATTAAGGGTAATGTGTCAGCAAATGAGTTGCATTTTTAATTAATTTGCTCTAATATTTTACATTGCCTACTTAGTTTATTAAAAAGTGTTTCGCTCCTTATTATACATATTATTTATGCACTTTTTTCCACAGGATTGGTTGTCATGTCTGCCGCAGTTGAAGCTGTTTACAAATCAGTTTTGATAGCTAAAATACCTCAAATGTGGGCGTCAAAATCTTATCCAAGTTTAAAGCCCCTTGGAAGTTATGTGAATGATTTTCTGCGACGCCTTGAGTTCTTGCAGGTGAGAACCGAAATTCTAATAAATTTAATAATTTTTTTTAAATGAAATATTTGTTTGTCACAGAAATGGTATGACCATGGAGCTCCCTCAACTTTCTGGCTCTCTGGATTTTTCTTCACCCAAGCCTTTTTAACCGGAGCTCAACAGAATTATGCTCGAAAGTATGTGATTTCCATAGATTTGCTGGCTTTTGACTACGAGGTTCTTTCGCTGGAGGAATCCCAAGCAAAAGGTATTTCCAGTCCCGAGGATGGAGTTTTTGTTTACGGAATTTTCCTGGAGGGAGCTCGTTGGGATCGCACCGGAAAATATCTTGCAGAATCGCGACCAAGGGAACTGTTCGATACAATGCCTTTGATTTGGTTGAAGCCCCTCAAGCGAGTCGATCTACCCGAGCGTCATAATTATCTGTGTCCAATGTACAAGACGGCGGAAAGGAGAGGAGTTTTGTCCACCACGGGTCACAGTACCAATTTCGTGGTGGCGATGTTGCTGCTCTGCAATCCCCAAACTCCAGTTTCCCATTGGATAATTCGCGGAACGGCACTACTTTGTCAGCTCAGCTTCTAATAATTGCAGATTTAACCGAATAAAATATATTTTTTAAGTTCTATTTGAGGCTAAAATAAACTAAAAGTCTGAGGAATGGCTTACATAAACACTACAAAAAATAGTCGTACAAATTTTTAATTATTTTGTTATATGCTCAATCATATTTATTTATTTATGTTGCATTCTGATATAAATTCCAAAAAAAACCTCGCGTATGAAAGTAACGAAAATCACCGTTACCCAAGAAGTAAATATCGGAAACTTCAGGAAATTATCTGAAATTGAAGAGCTGTGAATCCTTGGAGATATAAACAACTCCTTCTTTGTCCTCTTCCTCTGCCTCGGCTTCAATATCTTCGTCGTCAATTGAGGTTGTTTGATAATGATCGGTTTCCGCATATAATACTCCGCTATAATTTAGTTCATCACCTTCTAGATCTTGAAGTTCATATTCTGGCTCTTGAATTTCTCCTTCTACTTCATCTTCTAATTTAAGTGATTCCGCTTCTGCTTTAAGTTCTAAGTCTTTAGTAACTTTGGTCTCCGCAAAAATTGGTTCAACACTTTCATGTTTATCCGAAACCCGTAATTCGTCTGGATTATCAAAAAATTCGGAAATGTTAAGTGTGCTCAGGATGCTGTGTAGGTTAGGATCTGATGCGGTTCTCCTGCGAATCGTGACATCGGGATTTACAAGCGATTCGCTTTTGATGAAGCGTTCAGGTAAATCAGAATCATCATTGCCTTCTGGGAATTGTTCATCACCTTCCAATTTCTTGGTTACCTTGTCCTGCCTAAACTTCTTAATTAGAGAAAGAAACTGACTTCGCAAAAGAGTTGTTTGTTGCAGAGAATCGGAACGAGAGGCCGGCTCCTCATGGAACATTCTTCTGGGACCAAGGGGTCCAAAACTATCATATGCTTTACTTTTGCAAAGTGGCACGAGATCGCATGACTGAACCGGTGGCGGATTCTCAATTTTGGCAATGATTTCGGCAAAGACATCGTCGAGCAGACCGTTGTAGGTTTCGATGGCAATCCTCTCGGTTTCCTCCAACCATCGCCTGCCAGGAACCGCTTGTCGAATGAGTTTCCTTATAATGGCATGGGATTCGTACCAAGACATCTTCTCCTGACTGTCGGGTTCGCTGTCGGAGGAGAACAAATACAAATCGTTGTCGATGAGGCGATCAATCAAGTCGCTCGTCAAAGTGCTAGCTATATCGAACGGCTCTAGTTCCTGCCAAACTTCTCCAAATATCACATCTTCTACAATGTACTTGGCAATCATAGAGTTTTCATATCGCCGAAGTACTTCATTCAAGTCGGGGCAGACCATGTCCTGCAACATCAATCGTAGTGGTGTATAAGTGAGCGGAGTTTGGATGAGCTTGAAGGACTCGAGCCACCGTTCTATATCCTTATCAATTTGCCTTGCCATTTCGGTAACATCTTCGGCCGTTTCGTTCTCGATCATATGACCAATATCGCTCGCCATGATCGTATCGGTATACTTTTCACCCACTTCCCCGTGAACCACATGGCAGTGCTGAAATACCTCCTCGTAGACCATTCTCATGCTGTTCTCCTTCTGTCTTAAACCAGCCTCGGCCGCTTCGCGTTTCCAGCGTTCTTTTTGCGCCAAAATACAGAAGAAGTGGAGCTTTCGCAGCTCCTTCAATCGTTGCATTTCATTGGAGAGGAACTGCATAATGGTGCCAATATAACTGCCTTCGTAGGAGCTTATAAGGTGTTCCAAGTCCTCTCGTTTTATCGTTGAGCTTCTCTGCTTCTCAGATTTTCGTGGTTGCCTCGAAACTGCGGAACTCGTAGCTTGCAACTTCTTCAATGTGCTCGGAACAGAATGTTCGGTGAAACGAGTCTTTCTGGAGTTTATATTGTAATGCAGATAGGAATCGTCTGAATCCGAACTGGAATGTTGCCGTTCTATACGCAATCGTGTTTTCAGACACAAAGGTGCATCTTTTGCCTGGTCTTGTTGGGTTCTCAAAGTTTTCAACGATTCGTAGAGCCTCTGAAGATTGCCATCATTGCAGAAGTTCCTCTCATACTCCCTGTCATATTCCTTCGGCTTGGACCATTCCTTCAGTTTGCTGAATGGACACTGTACATTTCGCATGTTGACCCGCTTCTCCAGATCATCAATTCTCATATCGAATGCTTTTCGTTCGGTTTTCGATGCAAAACTTCTTCTGGCTGGATCTACACCATGTCTGATCAGAGGTCCATAGAACTCGGAACAAGGAGAACCTAATGCTTGCATGGGACTCTGCTTCTCCCACTTTCTGCAGGTTTTGGCCAACTGAATACTTATTCGACGCATTCCCTTCTGGTATTCGACTTCGTTTTTGCGCAAATCCGCTCGTCGACGTTTATCGATGCGTTCGAACGATTGCTCGATTCGAGTTTTCGAAGCGGCGTGCATCTCCTTCTCCCTCTTGTCAAACATTTTGATTACGATCTGAAGTCGCATCATCTGGCACTCCTGGATGTCCTCCTCCCGCTGAATCCACTGCTCCCACTCGAAGGCATCGAAAATCTCCTTGTACTTTGTTTTCACACAAACTTTTCGTGCCTCAACTAGACGTCTTTTCAGGTTTGTCTGGAGGGCTTTACCAAAGTCCCATCGTTTACGAGCTCGCTCCAGAAACTCGACTTCATGTAATCCTGGTGGCTTATCGCCTGGCAGTAATTTAGCCAGCGTGAAAAGCTCGAGGGTTTCTGATTTTTCTTGATTCGCTAACTCCGGTAGAAAGGCCAAGGTCTGAGCAGAAGATTCTCTAAACGGAAAGACATACATTTTTATGATTTTATCATCTGATTTTTTTCCCTAACAAACCTGTAAAGTGTTTGGGTGGCCTCATCCTTGAAAGGACGATTGTCCATATACTTGGGAAAGAAGTCACATTTGTTTTTCAACTCCTTTCTCAAAGGCTTCGAGTTGAGCTTGACTTCTTGAGTAGCAAAATCGGAGTGCACTTTTTGGAGGAAGAAGATTCCAGGTTCCTTAAACTGGCATTCACTATCGGTTCGAGGCAATGTTCCCACATTTCGCTCTGCAGGATTGTTGGCACCTAAGAATTAAGAAATTCATTTAGTAAACATATTAATAAACTCATTAGACTATTAATAATATAGGAACCCACCGGCTGGCATACGTGAATTGGAAGATTTTAATGGGTTTTTACCATCTGCTTGAGGTTTCTCCGCAAGATTTTCCGCTGCATTACTGCCACCTTAATTTTGTAAAAAATTGTATGTTAAGTAAAGACGAACATCCGACTTTTGGCTTGACAAACCACTATTTAATCTGGTATCCGAGGACTTGGTAATTAAACATGACGTTAGTCCTTGTCCAATAATTTTATCATTATCTCTGGATCTCGTTGAGTCTCCAATGCTTCTCTGCTTAGAATGGATAAATGTAACTCTTTTTTTTTGCCGCAAGGTCTCATCTTTTTTTGATAAAGGTGCTTGAAGAACTGGCGTTGAGTTGATGGGCCTGAGCTCTCGGTTTTCTCGGATAAATTCAAGGATACGTTCCTTTCTCAAGAGCTTGTCTTTTGCTGAAGGCATTTCTAGAATAAGTATAGTATATTGTAAGGTGTGTGTTCTTATTTGATGTGTTTTTGTGAATGCAAATAATTTTTGCTCTCACTTCTTATGTAAGCCTACTGGGCTTTAATACTATGTGTGCACCCTTTTCAGCTCAAGTTGTTTTGTGTTGTGCGAAATATTGGGTTAGTCAGTTAATCGGAAGCTAAAATAATTCGCTTGGCAACCAAATTGCTGCTAGGGAGCCAACATTGTTTGTTGGTCAATCGATAGGCCCCAATTGGACAAATAACACAAATAATAGTAAGTCATTGCTCCCGTCACCTAAATTCCTTTACATAAGTGGGATTTATTGGGGTAAGTCCGCCTTAAAGAATTCCACCGCACAATAAACGCTTTGAAAATAAATAAAACAATTAAATACTTACAGAAATATATCAATCAACTTTATTAAAAATATATATAAGAAAGCCTAGTTGAAATTATATTGTAATCCAAGATTTTGTTCTTCATTGCTTCCTTTAAAGTAAATATTCCACCAGATTCTTGGAAACAGTATCTGCACTTTCATTTGCACTTTCATTTTTTGATTTCTGCGATCCTTGCGAAACATAATCGAATGGCCAATGATTTGAATCGTCAGAAGAGGAGCTCATTGGTTTGTAATTGGTCGCTTTGCTTTCCAAGGAAACTTCCGGAATTCTTCTATAATTATAATGCACCTTTTTATCTGCTACAAAATGCTCATTCTCACGTTTTTTTTTCTTGACAAGGGTTAAAAATTGGCTAGTTATTAGTTCACAATTTACTTCAGATAGATCCTCTGATGGTCGATATTCCGAATTCTTGCTTTCGATCCTAGTGTTTTCGCCAGCTAAAAGGTTTTCGTGCGAAAACGATACTCTAAGTATAACTGGTTCGATGATTGGCGGATTATCCCTTTTGTATATCATCTCATTAAATATATCATCCAGCAGGTCATTGTAGTTTTCGTAAACGATCCGCTCGGCCTCTTCCTTCCAACGTTTACCGGGAACCGATTGTCGAATGAGTTTTCTTATTATGGAATGAGCTTCAAGCCATGAAGTTTTCTGCTCAGCTTCACTTTCACTGTCGGTGGAAAAAAGATACAGATCGTTGTCGATGAGGCGATCGATTAGATCACTTGTCAGAGTACTGGATATATCGAAGGGTTCCAGTTCCTTCCATACTCTGCCGAAGATCACATCCTCCACTATGTATTGCGCAATCATTGTCTTCTCGTAACGCTGAAGGGCAGCATTAAGATCTGGGGAGACCATATCCTGCAGCATCAGACGCAAAGGGACGTAATTGAGAGGATTTTGGATGAGCTTGAAACTTTCCAACCAACGTTCTATGTCCACATCGATTTGTTTGGCCAATTCGGTGACCGATTCAACAGCAGCATTTCCAGCCATATTCTCCACATCGGCGTCAAGAATGCTGCGGATATACTGATGGCTTACATCCTGGTGAATCACTTGCGATTGCTGGAACAGCTCCTCGTAGAGCCTTCTCATGGTGCTCTCCTTTTGCCGCAAACCTCCTTCGAGTGCCTCACGTCGCAAGCGTTCTTTTTGGGCCAAAATTGTGAAAAAGTGCAAACGACGCTGCTCCTTTAAGCGCACCATTTCGTCTGTGAGGAATTGCATCATGTAACCAATCAAACTGCCCTCGTAGGCGAATATCAAATTCTTTAAATCTCTTTTCTGTTCATCTCGTCTCAGTTGTTGAGCGTATTCAGCTGATATTTGATTTTTCTGCAATCGAAGATGCTGTTTAAACGCTTCATATAGAGAGGGTGACGGCGAGGGACTTTTGATTTCGCCAGCCATTTCATAAAGATTTTTATAACTCTTAAGGGGTTGTGCCATAGTTCGTCTCGGTTTTGTTGGTTCATAAGGCATCATACGGCGTATCTTAAGACATTTGGGCCTTGGCTTGCGATCTTCGTAGGCGGCCCTCGAAGCCCTTAAAGTGTTGTAGAGCTTATCCAAATGTGTTTCATTGATGAAATTGTTCTCGATCTCTTGAACCCGTTGTTTGGGCGCTGACCATTGATTTAGTTTGGCAAAAGGACACTCTACTATGCGGAGATTTATTTGCTTTTCCAGTTCATCGATTCGCATGTTGAATGCCCGAATGCCAATGGACGAGGCGAAATTGCGACGAGCTGGATCCACTCCGTATCGAATGGGTGGAGCGTAGAAATCGGAGCAAGGTGATCCCAAACCGACCATGGGCGTCTGTTTCACCCATCTTATAGATGTTTTGGCCAACTGTTTGCTTATACGCCGCATGCCACGTTGGTACTCGACTTCATTTTTATGAAGAGCCGCCTTTCTTCGTTTCTCGATGAGCTCGCATGCCTTTTCTATTCGAGTTTTGGATGCCTGGTGCATTTCCCTCTCCCTTTTGTCGAACATCTTGATCACGATCTCCAGTCGCATCATCTGGCACTCCTGGATTTGATCCTCCCTCTCCAGCCACTTCTCATACTCAAAGGCATCCATCGTGGCCTTGTATTTCTCAATGCAGACTTTTTGATTAAATGTGCGTTGTTTGGCAACATTCATCTTGAGTGCCTCCAAGAATTTTCGACGCCTGCGGCATCGTTCGAAAACTTCCACTTCAAAGAGGCCCGGTGGTTTATTTCCGGGAAGAATCGATGGAAGTGTAAAAAGTTCTAGAGTACGAGCTTTGTCTTTTTCATCGATTTCTGGTAAGTAGGCCAAAGTTTGCGCTGAAGATTCCCTATAATGAAAAGGTAATCTAAATCCCGTCTGTAATTAATAAATTTATATTACCTATAAAGCGTTTGAGTAACTTGGTCCTTGAAAGGTGACGGATCCTCATATTTAGGAAAGAAATCACACTTATTCTTTAACTCCTTTCTCTGGGGCACAAGTGGTTTTAGGAAAACTTCCTGTTCGGTTTTATTTGTGTTTCGGCCTTTAAGAAACAGAATACCCGGTGCATTAAACTTGCATTCCTCATCGACGCGCGGCTGTTTTCCCGTTTCCCGTGCAGCGGGATTATTTTCGCCTAGTAAAATTATATTTTATTATTAAGAATTTATTATTATGTTATTACTCACCAGCAACCAATCGCAGATCACTTGATGGAGTCGCGATCAAACATGATGTTAGATTCTGCTTCGTAGTTTTTTCTTCATTTTTGGGTTTTTTTATTCGGCTAGCGGCTGTTTTTATCTGTTGCACTTCAATAGGCTTGGTATCCCGATTTTCTTGAATAAATTTCAGTATCCGTGCCTTTCGTTCCTCCTGTAATTGAACTTTTTTCCGTTGCTTGCGGTCTGGCATTTTTAAATTGAATTCTTGGCCTAATTGTTTTAATTTCTTCGATATTGATTTAATATTAAGCCAGTTTTTATATGACCTACTTGGGTAGATGTATTTTAATTTATGATTTTTTTTTCTGTTCAAATAAGTTATGTTCTCTTTTTAATTTATCTTACTTCAAATAAATATGAAAGTTAAAGAATAGGTCTTAAAATATAACGTATATCCACCTAAAGGCTTTATTTGGTAGTCTAATTAAAGATTGTTTTATATTTAGACTTCATAATGAATAAAGTCTTCCTTTATCAATTTGGTTAATAAAAACGTGACCCAAATGGGATTAGCTCATCAATATCAATTTGAGTCATTGAAATGGCCAACGTTATTCCCGCAATCTGCAGGAATCTTTGAGCTGGGAAAACAGGGGAAACACTGAGATGTATACAAATGACCTCAAATGGGTTGCGCTCCTTAAAAACCCACCCACCGCCTCGACAGGACGTTAATCATTTATTATCCGACATGTCTGTGATTATTTAGCTTTTTGTCTTGGCCCGGCCATATTTCATTTTCTTTGCAGGCTTTAAATTTTTTAAGTCATTGAGGATGTTCCTTGGATCCCTTGATTTTCCTCCGGCGAGAGTGCAACTAATTTTGTGTAATAATTTATGAGCCAAGTTTTCACGGGGGCTTCGGCAGGAGGGGAAATGTTTTTCGATAAGAAGTGCTTTTGACGATTAAGCGCAACACTCAAGCAAGTTGTGGGGCGTAAATTGTTGTTTCTCAGTCCCAGCCCAAGAGTTTTAAGCATTGAGGGTTCTTTTGTGGGCAATTTAAGGCTATTCTTGTTGGCCAAAAACTTTTCTTGAAAAGCGAGAAGCGAATGTATTTGGGGGAAAGCTTGAAAAGTTGACCCATTTTGACAGCTTCACAGATTGCCAACTTTTAATTGGCATCAATTTTTATCAACTACGTAACCGCTGCTCAACGGTGCAATTGAGGACTCATGTTCGTGCTTAGCAGGCACATTAATTATTCCTTGAAAGCCTCATCTCCGTCCAATTTTCAGTACTCGTATCCCCGCCTGCACTTTGCCATTAATTACCTTTGCTAAGCATTTGCCCATTTATCAGACTTTCGGTTCTCGGTAAAGAGTACGGGGCCATGGCCTTCTTTCTGTTGCCTGCGTGACCCCATCAAAAATAATGATGCTAATTAGGCACCAGCATTTTTGCTGATCATTTAAACCGATTAGAGCGAACGTTAAAATCTGCCCCGGGCAATCCTAGAAAATCAGGAGACGTCCCGTCCCACTCGTTATTCTATATTTACGCTACGCAATGGAAATCCCAAAATAATCTCATCTTATATTTTTCTTTTTATCTTCTTGTTTTATAGAAAAAAATTTTTTTTTTGGTACTTGCACACAATTATTTTTAGGCTGCTTTAACAAATAAATATAAATTTACTTCAAAAATGTTTTGCATTGTCAGAAGAGCAGAATTTCCCGGCGATTTTATTTTTAGTTATATAGTATACAAAATGCACTATAATGAAAATTATTTGTAAGTTCTCTCACAAGATGTACGCTTAATACAGTAAACTAATAAAATCGGAATGTTTATTTTTCGAGAAAAATTAAAAAATAATATTTTTATAATTATAGGTAGCCCTAAAAAGAGGTTTCTAATTTTTTTTTAATCAAATAGTTATTATTAATATTTCACATAACAATTTTTTTTATCTTCATTAGCAGTTAACAGTTATACCGCATTTTAGTAAAAAAATATTTTTTTTACTGCTCATTTACAACTGATGCTTACGTTTAAACTTTACTGTATTATCTGATGCACATGCACATCTTTACCAAAAGTTTGACGTCATCTTTATTTGAGCTGTTCGTTTTAGTTGTTGCTGGCAAACTGTGTGTATACCACACAAACGGTTGAATTTACCGAAGCAACTAGCAAACCGGTTAGTCATCGTTCGGCGTTTGCCAGTGCAGCATGTTTGACATCGAACTGAAAGAATTGCTGGAGAGCTGGGGCTTTGGCCACTTGTTCCCATTCTTTACTGGTAAGCAACATCAAACAATTACAATTATAATATATATTAATGGTTATAAAAACAACAAACATGTAAGACAGAGTTAATGTATTTTTGCTTCCTTAATTGCTCTGAAAGGCTGCAGATTTCTGTTGTTTGTATGCATGAAAGTAAACATCGCTTGTACATGCTTACGTAGCTACATTGTGGCCAAGCATTAAACCCCACTTTCTTATTTATATTACCATACTATTTAAAAAACAATTATTTATATCACCATAGTATTTAAAAAACAATAATTGTAATATAACATGTTTATTCAATATGTTAAATTAATTACATTTATTTTTAAAGCTGAAGAAATTACGGTAAAACGACTAAGTTATGTCACAGAAGTCGACCTGACATACATATTTCGCAATTCTAAGTTGGGTGAAAAAATTGAATTTCGGCATCATTTAACGGAATGGAAAAGGAAATCAGTAAGACAATATTTTATTTTTTTATTTTTTTCGATGTAAAAAATATATATTTTTTAACTCAAGGGTTGTGAAAAATGTATAAAAAAGGACGCAGATTTAGAGGGAGATGATTTTGGTAAAGCCCAATCGAGCTCATCTTCATGCACATTAAAAAATATATGGACCTGCAATAAAGTTAATTTGGTATGTTCTTTTGTAAATATTCAGTCTTAAAAACTCTAATGAGTTTTATTGTAGGATCTTGACCTCATTCTAAGTGAGCACCCCACTGGAAACTATGTCCAACGAGCATTGAACGAGGGAAATAATCTCAACGATGCAACTAGAAAAATATTAATAGAAGCCATTGTTACGTATATTATTAAAAATAAAGTGAAGCCAACCAGATCGGACTTTGAAAGAATTTCGAGTGATATAGAATCTAAATTTAATGATGATAAGGTAAATACATTTTTCCATTACATGTATTGCTTACAAAAACTTATATTTTATTCTAGAAAATCTACTACAATAATGTTGGACCGCGGGCAGCGGGAAGGCTCTATGACAAATATTACAACACATTAAAAAAATTAAAGAAATGTGGGGAAATATTTGATTCTTCTGCACCGAAAGTTGCACAAAACCACGAGATTACCATTTCATATGAAGAAGGTAGACTGAGTTTAAATCAATTGTAAGATTTAATTAAAAATGTTTTTTTTTTTTTATAACCAGAAAATGAAGCTTATGAATGGCTAAAAGTTAATAGTGAGCCTTGGCCAGAAGTCTTGGAAAAGTGGCGAAAGTGCTACAAACCGCGAAGAGAGGACATCCTAAGTGCAGAAGGCCAAGATGCAGTTTATTATGTTCTTAACCAATGGCCTCAATTTGCCAACCATTTGGGACATAGTCTGGTGTGTACAATACTTGTAAAAAAAATCTAAATAATAGGTCTAAATTGATCTTTTATGTATTAGGTGGAAATTGACTTTAACCTATTATACCCACTATCAACTTCCCTAACGCAAAAATGGGAACCGTTTAGAAACAAAATCATCCCAATATTGAATTCAAAATTGACAGATTCGATCGATATAAATTACTTGGAACAAGTCAGCTCTCAGGCTGAAGGTCTGTAGATAGTTACAATCGTTATTTTTATTTAAATAACATGATCGTTTTATTAATAGGTTCCGATCTACTTCTTGCACTTCTACTGCATGTTCTAATGCGTCCAAATACGAAGCGCAGAGCTCGAGATCAAAATTTTACTAAACTAGTTAAGGAATCTCAACGTTCGTTTATAATTCAAGGATTAACCAATAATGATGTCGAAAAAGATATTGAACTCTTAAGAACTTCTCTCTATAACCGCGGTGAAAGTCTGCATCCTATTATACTTGCAGTTGGGCAGAATTTGAGTTGCTCAAAATATTATCTGCTCTTTGATGATATAAAGTATTCATTGTTTAGTTTTCTTAATGTATTTGATATATGTTTTAAGCTGTTTCACGTTTTACATCTTAAGTATCCTTCCGATTGCTTTGAGTTTTGGATGTTTGTTCAGAAGTATTTTTATGGAATACATTTAGAGGATGACAAGGTGTCTTCTAATACATTATGTTTAATTAGTGACCTAAGGTAGAGGCTTCGAATTTCTTCGTTGAAATTAAAAACATAATTTTGTAAAAAAAGAATTCAAAATATTCTTTAATGCTTGAAGAACCTTTTAAATATAAAATAAAACCAAACCGTTATTTTTTGTGATCTTTATCAATTTGCCAATATTTTTTTTCTTGGTAACTTAAGAACTTGTGAAAAGCTAAAATGAATTAATTAAAATCGGAAAGAAGACGAGCCACCCTCGGGTAGCTGAAATTAGTTTCTTCGCTTGGTTTCCTCGTTTTTCTTATGCTTCCGTGTCGGGGAAGCTTTCCTATTTTCATTTTCCAAATAATGCGTATTTATGAGTAAACAATGAAATTATATTTACTTTTGCTGTGTCAATATTTGCATGCAATTAATTTTCCCAGCTTGGATGGTGAGCAGAATAAGCGAGGGCCGCCAGCCAGCCAGCCAGCCAGCTGGCATAAACCATGACGAGCAGTGAAAAATCAAACCAAACGAAGCGTGGAGCGGGGGCAAAGTGCCGTAACGTGTGCAGAGAGTGCCGCACTTTCCCGGATCCTGGAAAAACCCAAGCCCAGACCCAGACCAGGACAGCCCATCCCATCCCAGTACAGCAGCAGCCCACAACGAAATGCCACACCCACAGTGTCCTAGCTGCCGGGTCTGCCGCAATTTACTTTAAAAGTATTGCTAACGAAGGAATCGAAGACGAGTGGCTTGCCATCGACTTTGTTGTTATTGTTGTTGCTGTTTCTGTTATTTTCGTATCCTGACGCTGATGATGGGCGATGATAACGAGATGCTCCGCCGAAGTTTGCCAAGTTTGCGGCGCTTCCTTTGGCGACGCATCCTTTGTGGCCAGGACTCGCTGGCAAGTCGCCGGAAAGTTCGGGCTAATGCCAAGCACATTTTGCTTTCCCTTAAAAAACTTCGTTTGCATGCTTTCGACTTT